TCTTATGATGCTGTGTTTTGGTCGTTTCTTGACTTTAACCTCTATAAAATCATAGCAAACGGGTGCCAAGGATGGGGCTCAATGGCAAATACAGTGCCAATCAGTGTTTCTGCCAGACCGGGGCTGAAAGGGCGTCCACCCCGAGAGCGGGGGGGGTGGGGGGGGTGTGACGTCACGTTGTGTCACGTGACTTGAATTTTGAATTGAGCCGTCCCTTAAGTTATAGATACTATCTCTTTACGTATTAGTGATGGGAATTCCGGCTCTTTTTAGTGAGCCGGATCATTTGGCTCGGCTCACTAAGAAGAGCCGGCTCTTTCGGCTCCTAAATGGCTCTTCATTTTACCACAGTTTACCACGGAGCCTCAGTTTCGCCGCTGCGAGGCTCCGGCGTGTGCTCCACTAGTACCCCCCCGTCAAGGTTCACCGGCAGTACACTAATCCCACCAGACTCCTTTGCCCCTCCAACAGAGGGATGTCCTTGTCCTTTTTCCTTTTCGTCATTTCAAGCGATAAAAACTCGATCTTCTCTCGAATTATTATTTTTTTTGGACGCCCTCGGCTCGAGTTCATGGCGTTCCGAGCTTCATATGACGTCAAGACGCCCCCCCTGGCGGAAACGCTGGTGCCAATCAAATGCTACTATAGCTAGATGAAACGCCGGACCTCACTTTGAGAATCCTTGGAGAGCTCCAGTGACTGTTGAAGAGATGAATGATAAATGTTGTCACACCCATGTAGCGGTATGCATGGCTCTGTGTCAGTGAGGGGACTGGAGAGAGGACTATGTGGCAAACAGCTCTGTGAGCAACATGATAGATCAGACAGTCTCTGCCAGGAGTACTTACCGGGATGACCTGTCACTACACAGAATGAAATCTCTTCTAAGGTTGTAATAAATCAGTGGCTAATACCTCAGGGACTGAGCAGTATGCCATTAAGTTGGATTTAAATACCACTCCAACATTTGAATGGTGGTAAATTGCTTGTCTTGTTCACTGGTGTCAGAGTTGAGTGACTTAAAGTCTCACAGCTTACAAACTATTTACAGAAACATTTACTCCTGAAACAATACTTGTTTGGTTGTTTATGCAAATGTGTGTTGAATGTTGCCAACAGAGAGAGACAAGTATAGGAAACGAAACTGCCTAGTTTGCATTACCGGATGTGCTGACTTTTTCTGTTTCTGTCATCATCTGTTTGTTGGTTGGTCCTCACGTCTGTCATTTGATGTCAGGTAAAACCAATCAGTTTCCTTTTCGGAAACTGTTGCACAGATCTTATTTAAAGTGTGTAGTAATGTAACCATTTACTAAGATCATAAGAGGAAGCGTGCCACATGTTTGCAGATATCAGATCAACAGCGCTGTATGTCTATCTAATAGTATTCCTCTCAAGCTCCTGCAGTCTTAAAGTGGAGTTTAAACATTAACAGTATGTGGCAACTCTAGAGTGACAGCACCCACTTCAAGAGGTTGATGTATTTGTTTGGGTGTGTGCGTGGTGCTTGTTCACTGTGCTGGCTTACCTTTCTTAAGAACACTTCTGGCTGCTTTCAATAATTGTTTAAATGACCAATATGGGGCAGATACACAGTCCTGATCCATTAGCTCATGTATCTGCTATGCCTAATGTGTTAGCATAAGACAGCCTGCCTTTACATCCTTTGTGCACACCTGATACATTTTCAGCAAGTCCAATATTCCCTCACCTCTGTAAGGCTGGTTTCATCAACCGACTCGTGAGAAAATGTTTTCAGGCTAACAAGCAGCTTTTGTATTGGGTGTGTGCTTCGCCCTAAATAAACTCTGCCCCAGCCAATGGCAGGGAGAAAATTACACTCTTGGGAAATGTAACATGAGCAGAGACGTTACATCACAGGCAAAAACCTGATTTCATAAGTGGGATTGAGACCTGCATCTCGTGACTTAATTGAGATGAGATGTGCACACAATCCTGAATCTGTGTCACACAGCTTGGCTAACCTAACTTCCCTGTTTTCAGGTTCAGTTTTGTATTTAGTGTCTCTACTCCGACATGTCTCCATGCTTTAATGTTCAAAAAGCTCTTGATTTTTCTCATACTGCCTGTGCTGCAGCACCTCTTTTCACCCTCTGTCTGAAACCAGAGCGCGGTCTGCTCTGATTGGTTAGCTGGCCGGCTCTCTTATTAAGCCCACTAGAGCAAATGACAAACTAGCCTCTCAGATTGTAAGCTCTCCAAAAAGAACCCCACAATGAACGGAGAGAAAAGGAAGAAACCTCACGTACAGCAACTGAGAAGGGATCCATCTCCAAGGATAACGTTAACATATTTGTAAAAGATGGATCTAGGAGGATGTCAACGAGCATACAGTGAGATCCTGTTGGCTGTAATCGGCCGACTACGGTCATAGAAGCTGCCAGAGTCATGGGACTCAAACATACAGTCTGTGTGCAAGCTGAAAGGAAAACAAAACAACTGAAATCTGCCTAGAGGTCGAGAGGTGGGTTATCGTGCTCAGTGGGTTACTGAGTGGTGGTGTAAAGCAAAATGGTGTGCTGGCATGACCTATAACTGCTGTAGAGGAATGAAATAACAAAAACACACATTTGTCCCACGGTTTTCTCTAACTGTAGACAAACACACTTAACATTTAGAGGAGGACAACCAGAGAGTGACAAGGAGTAAAAAGTTGTGTTTCTTCATGCATTTGTGTAAATATGTTTCATACGTTTTTGCCCTTATAATTGTTTGCAATATTTGCTCTTTGTGGCAAGGAGATATGATGAAAGATACAAAGCAGAAAAAAAGTAAAAAACAAACTCATTTTGAGCTCATGTGATGAGCATCAGCTGCTTGCAGGCACTGTGGCCTCAGATCTGAGTTAACCAGTTACTGTAATGTAACATGCTGGCAGTGTAATGATTGTCTTAGCATGGTTGTTTACAGCATGGCTCACGCTAATGCCATGTAACAGAGCAAGACGTCTGGCTGTTCATTAGCACAGTCATTATGTTGGCTCAGTGAATCTCAATATTTTAGGACATACCCTTAGGGTTTCATCAATGCTAGTTTCTTATATTTGTCTCTTTATGTTCACTTACCACGACATCATTAGTACCCGTTTCATAGATTGTATCCCAGAGTCCATTTAAGGTAAATGGCCCAAACTGTAGCAGAGTGGATATGAGAGTCGACCATAAATAGCTCGGCTCTGTGTGGACTAAATGGGGAAAAGAGGACATTGGCTTACTCAACACTTACAAGGGTATTTTTGTAAACTTAGCTACTTCTCTGCGTTTCTGTTTTATGTCCACATCAAGTGCTGTTTTAGGAAACAGAAAACAGCTGTTGTAGAGCTCAAACCAGGGGGAAAACAACTCTAAAACATCAGGAATCTGAGTTATAAACCAGTCCATAATGCGTGCCTTTATCGCCTTTGTGTGTTGTCACTAGGGATGTCCTGATCACCTTTTTTTGCTCCCGATCCGATTCCGATCATTTTATTTTGACAATCTGCCGATACCGATTTTTCCCGATCCAATCTTTATGCAATGCATTAAGAGAAAAAAAAGGTAACAGATAACGGCTGGTCATCCAACGCGATGAATTCAGGCTGTTATTTTTTTGGCCTTTTCACTGTTCTGGGGCAGTTTCTCTTTCCTTTTAAAAATCTCTGAAAGTGTTGGTTGTTTCAGTGCCGTTACCTGAGTGGCCGCTGTGTACTCGTCGTGTTGTTGTTGGTGTTTGTATTAGATTGGTCGTGTTGAACGTAGCTCTGTTCTTTCCACCACGCGGAACCTCCGCCTTGCAAACATTGCATATGGCTGTTACACTGCCTTCGCTTTCAATTTTATAATACTTCCAAACTCCTGACATTTTCTCTGTCCCGACTCCCGAGGCACCAGCTGAACGTAGCCTCTTGTTAGCTTACTGCTACTATTAGACACTGCGCCCTGCCCACTCTGTTGCCAGATTTGAGAGAAATAAGCAACCAGGTCTATGAAAACAAGCCCAAAAGAAGCAACACATACATGATGTTGTGTAATTTTAAACCAAAACTAAGGCCTCAGGATGACTTTAAGATGTGAACATGGTCATTTTTGTTTTGTAACATTAAAGAAAAAAAGAAAAAAAAATTATAAAAAAAAAATTAAAAAAAAATCCCGATCCCCGATTTTTTTCTCCCGATTCCGATCTTTTGAAAATCACGTGATTGGCTCCGATCCCCGATCACGTGATCGCATCGGGACATCTCTAGTTGTCACTGATGGATGAAAAAAAAACAATGTGAGAATGAAGGAGGAAACAAAGAACTTGTACATTCTCACTGGACCTGTTTTTAGATGGATGCATTCACTGAGGAAGCCCGGGGACTTCCATTTGTTTTGGCAACATGTGTCACTCAAACTCATAATCAAATTCTGTAGTAAGTTTGGCATCAGACAAACCAACAGTTTGTTGCCAGTCCTCATTCCGATTCTTCCATAATTACAATGAAAGAACTGGTTTATCTTGCCACTTAAATATGCAGCTTGGTACGTAACATTCCTGCATCAATTAAAAAGCGTAGGCAGTAGTTTGGTGTCATGACCAAAGCGGGTGCATGGACCGGTTCATTTGGTAAATGTTCACAAGATGTTTAGTGTTAAGCTGCTCAAATTACAACTGGGGAAATAAACATTTAACACCAACATTCCTATAGTCTAATCTTGTTAAGATACCCACTCTTTCGCTGATGCTTGTATGTTGGAACGCGGCCCGGCACATCTGCTCTTTCTCACTATGACAGCACTTGGCGATGCTGGTTGAGAAATAATTACAAAATCATAAATATTTTGTTTAGAAGTTTCCCTTACTGCACTACTGTCCTCCCTGTGTACTTAATCCCTCTTTTCTACATATTTCATGTTGTAGACGCCCACAAATTAGATACAAATGCTAACTAAAGGTCAGAATGAGATATGTGTGTTATATCTGTCCTTACACCAGCTCTCTCTCCTCTGTTTCCCCCTTAGGTTTTGAGTCGTGACCTCAGTTCGCCTCCTCCACTCTTCTTCTTCTTCCTCGGCAGCAGACATGCCTCCAGCGCTGGGTGGGCCTGTGGGCTGCGAGCCTCCTGAAGGGGGCTGGGGCTGGGCGGTGGTGGTGGGCGCCTTCATCTCCATCGGCTTCTCCTACGCCTTCCCCAAATCCATCACCGTGTTCTTCAAAGAGATCGAGGTCATCTTCGACGCCACACCCAGCCAGGTGTCATGGATCTCCTCCATCATGCTGGCTGTCATGTACGCTGGAGGTGAGTGGCAAGTGTGTGTATTAGGAATGTCTGTTTCACTGTTTATTTATACCTATTACTGTGTTGTTCTAGGGGGCATGTCTAATTATTAGAATCGAATAGAATCCAGTTTGCCTTTCACCCACAACATGAGTGTCCATGTCAGAAGCGTTCTCACTTACTGCAAAGACTCCTTAGCTCTAATATCAGCAGCCGTTATCTCTGAGCTGTTCAGTGATTCATGTCGGTCTGTTTTTGCGCCCGTTGAAAGTGTTGAAAGCCCCGACTGGCACAGTGTCGGTTTTTTCCCCTCTACATTTCAATGTGGAAAATAACAAATATCCCACACACTGTAGCACATTCTTTCCACGTGATGCTTGTTTGTTGTTTGGTTTCACTTGACCTGGAAATTAGCAATTCTAAAATTCTAAATAACCAGCAGCACTTTCATAATAACTGACATTTGCAGAAACTCTTAACAAAAGCTCTAAAGATCAACCAGGAAATGGCCATATAGTCACATGGTACTTGAAGAATGTGTTTCTATAATATTCTCATCACCACATCACATAATTGTAGTTTACATTACAAAGCACACTCTGCAGACTGAGCTATTTAACGCCGCCCTTTCTCAGGTGGGTGCTTGTTGTAGTGTGTCTTCGCCTCCAGGGAGAAAAGGGGTGTTTGTTAATACAACTGGTTTGCTGGTGGAGTGTTTGTGTGTATATATTTGCGGTTGTGTTTCTTTTGTCAGGACTGTAGTGTGAATGTTTGGCTCCAAAGAGGCTCTGCCTTCTTATCGTTCACCCTTCACTGAAGCAAATCAAACACACACCTCTTTTTATCACCCTCTCTATCTTTCTCTCAATCAGTCTCAGATTGGGTTGTGCTGAAGCGAGAGCTAAGCACAACGTTAGAAATGGATACTTTAGTGTGAGTTCAAACTATGAAAAACCAGCACATATTTGTCCGGCTGCTGAATATAAACAAGAGCAAGCAGATGTTGATTGAATGAAATTATGTTTAAATGAATGCTTAAGCAGAATGATTACAAACAAATCATAACTCACCATGTTATATAGTGCAGAGATTCTCCCCTTATGGTCAAATGTCACAGTAGAGGCACAACAAAAAAACCTATACCTGAAGATGAGCATATTAGGGCCGCTTACATGAGTCATCTGTGCACAAAATGTCATGTTTATTCATCTGAAGGTTGTTGAGATATTCATAGTGTTGTCTCTGCAAGCTGAGCAGCTTCATACTTGTTTTGGCTCAAAAAATAAATATTTTGAATACAGTCAGTTCTTTCTTACGCTTTACGCTGTAATGGCTCTTTCACTGCACTGCTTCAACAGGCTTTTATTTAGATGTTCATTCAGGATTCAGGCTGGAGAAAGACTCCCAGGTTCAGGTCAGGTTTCTCTCTTTCTGGCGCAAGACACAAAGCAAATTCCTTCCTATGCAAACACTCTCTCTCTCTCCTTCTCCACCAGTGTGTTTAATAACCAGCACACCCCACATGTGAGACTAGGGCTGTGCGATTATGGCAAAAATCATAATCACGATTATTTTGGTCAATAATTGATATCACGATTATTAAAAAACGATTATCCATTTACTTTGAAAACATCCATTTATTGAAAAATAAAATTGGAACAGTATGTTTTTAACAGTTGATTACCCTGAACTTAAAGTATAATTCAACTGAAAAACCAATAAAAAATAAAAAAATAAAAAAAAATAATCACATTTTTTAAATTTTTTTAATAGAAATAATAATCGTTTTATTTCGATTACGTTGTTTTCGTAATCGTTGCAAGCCAAAATCGTAATCGAGATTAAAATACGATTAATTGCACAGCCCTATGTGAGACACCATCATCTCCCTTTCTCTCTCTGTTCATCCATATCTAAAAATGGTATCAGCTCCTTCCACTTCATCTGCGCGCCAGCCTGCGTTGCATTCAGGCATTTATGAGAGGAAACTGCTGTGGGGGAAACAGGGGAGGAGAGAATTGCATAACAGGAGCCAGATGTTAACGGTTTTTTTTTCACAACTTTTTATTTTCTTCCTCCCCTATTTCAAAACTCAGCCGGCTCAACAGTTAATAAAGTCACAGTGCTTGTACAGCGTTAAGATGTTGGACAACGGTTACCATCGCCACATGACTCACTGTTTACATCCGTGAGGCAGCGCACGTCCTCACACCCTCTTCCACAGAAACACACGTATTCACTGTGGCTGCACTACGTCACTGAATGCTGACTAATAGTGGGAAACGGATTCAGTGTGAGAAGGAAGAGGGAGATATTTAGAGCATCTGGTTATTAGCGGTCAGGCATACAACAAACAAAAGAATGGCATCATTTTCAGCTGCCAGTGTATAGTCAACACTTACAGTACAAACCACACAGCTACAGGATACATATGAGTCATTGCTTGTTGGGGTTTGTTTTTGTTTCAGTGGTGGTATGTAACAAAGTGCATTTATTTAAATTCTCTACTAAAGGCAATCAATATTTTATTTGGCTAAAGAGAATAAGGTGATCCAGAACAAACTGAGCTCAGTCCAAATGATGATGATGAACAAATTCCATATAACAGCCCTTGACAGTTGTTATACTCTCTCAATAAGTACAAATCACTTACTACTACTGTATGTTGTTGTCATTTAGTATCATAATGGCTCTAAAGCTTCTTCAACTGGAGTGTTTTTCTCAGCTAACATTTCAGAATCATCATTATGCAATACTGTAATTTTATTCAGCACCTTTGTAATAACCTTTTGTTGTAAACCCTTAATTTCATTTGAAAGGAAATAACATTGTATGTAACTCCAGCGAGGAATCATTTGGAAGTTTTGTAAGTGAACTTTATCTCACACTTTATTTAAAGAGACAAGGAATAAAAGAGAAATAAAACACATGTTTAAAGAAGTCAAAACAAATGAAAATGTGTCAAAATAAGTTAATTAAAAGGCGCTTACAGTTCATCTTGATTTAGTTAAAAAAAAGTGACACTCTTTGTAATGTCCCCCTGAACGTCTTAATCCTCTTTTCCATGAGGAACCTGGTTCCAAATACAAATCCCTTGTGACTGTAGACAGTGCCTTGGAAAAAGAAGTGACAGAAACCACAACAATGGACCACAGACGAGTCCTTTGGTCTGTCCTCTGTCTCTCATTAGACAGCTCTGGGCCTGGAATGAGGAAGTATATGTAAAACATCCAATTCAGCAGCAGTGGGAATCACTCAGTTAAGCAGTATAGAAAAACTCAACAACTTGCACGTATCCACACGTATCCTAATCCTCATGGCTTTAGTAGTTAGGCGGAATTACAAACATGTTTCTTTCCGTTTTAAATTCCTGTCATTTCTGGATTTCATGTTTTTCAAAGAGGGCCTTTTGTCACTTTATGTTACTCCAGTCAGTGTGTGAGTGTGTGAGAGTGTGAGTGTGAGTGTGAGTGTGAGTGTGAGTGTGAGTGTGTGTGTGTGTGTGTGTGTGTGTGTGTGTGTGTCTGTCCAGGAGCACATCTCTTATTGATCTACAGAACACAGGTTGTACGCATGCAGCCAGAGAAGGACAAATGGGGAATCACTGCAGTCTTCCTCCGGTCCTATATGGAGGCCCTGATTGGGAATTAGGAGCACCTGGGGAGAGGCTGCACCTGGGGAATCAGAGGGAGAGCGAGAAAGACACACAAACACTACGGCACGTAAAACAATTGGACTAATCATTGCAGCTCTATTCACCGGCCACATTCAAACATTTCACAGCAATTGCGTATGGGGAGAAAGAAAGAGCCTTCAAACTAAAGTGTTTACTAAGAGACTGGATGATAAAACAATGAAAACACCTGTTGTGGGCAGGGGCCAGTTTAAATGCAAAATCTAGAAATAATAATGGATGCACACTTACACACACTTTTGGATGCACCTGTTGTCCACATCGTCACATGGAAAAACAATTCAACCTGTGCACTGTGTCCTTGAGCTGTGTGTGTGTGTGTGTGTGTGTGTGTGTGTGTGTGTGTGTGTGTGTGTGTGTGTGTGTGTGTGTGTGTGTGTGTGTGTGTGTGTGTGTGTGTGTGTGTGTGTGTGTGTGTGTGTGTGTGTGTGTGTGTGAGAGCTTGTTTTAATACAATAAGTGTTGGGGGCTTACAGGATATTGATATGATTAAGCAGGAGAGTTTAGATTTAAGCCGATTTAGCAAAGGAAAGAAAAAAGACAAGAAATGATTATTATCAAAGTCAGCTTCCCTGAGTACAAAAGACACAACTCTCCATTCAAGGGACATATATAAGATCTGATGCAACACACTACCATATGAAGCCTTAAGGTTTTTGCCACTGCTATAGTCGATTTGACATGTTATTCCCTCTTTCTTTCCGTCTTCTGTCTATCTTCAGCTGTACTCAACAATAAAGGGAAATAAAAAAAGAATAAAGACTGTTGTAAAATGGCATAAGTATTGTCTTTTCCTGGTTTTAAAGTCTGCCATACAGTAGAGTGATGTGATATTATGAACTTACCAGACTGTGTTCTAGCTATTCTAGTATTTTCCTTATTCCTTCTTATATTTGTATAACCACGACTGATGATAATTTATCTTTTAATACCCCAATAGTCCACCCTACAAAATCGTTGCAATATCCATATCAAGGTATTTGGTCAAAGATATTGGGATATTTCAAAATATCACTCTTAAAATCTAATGTTGACGGATGCCTGGTGGTATCAATCTTCTATCCAACTCCGCAAGAAAGGGATGAATCCTAATTCCCAAACTGTAGATATTTTCTTTCTAAAGCTTCGGTCCTCTGTAATGGATGTGTCCTGTTAGCTATGTGATGCATTTTAAATGTTTGCGGCAAACCCAATCATCTGTTTCTTCTTTCCCTCTTCTATTTTTGGTCACTCTGACTCATCACCAGCTGATGCTCTCCGTCTCACTCCTCAGTCGGCATCTAACTCCGTGCAGTTGCTCTCTAATGAATGGCTGAATCAAATAAACAAAGACAAGTAGATTGTTATATAGATTGAAATCACTGAAGCACAGCAAGAAGCAGAGCCTACATTTAGACGGGGGCATAGCTCGTCACAGCTGGGTTCACTCCTAACATCCCCTTTTTTTCACTTGTGGATGCTGTGTCAGAGTTAAGCTGAGGTCAACTCCTCTCCTTCCTCCTCTCTGTGTTCTTTTGGTTCACAGAGAGAAGGAGAGCAAAGGATGGAGGGAGGGGGGGGGAGGACGAATCGTTTATATAATGTTCCTGAGAACACCACTCACTGCCCTCTTTGTGTTTGGGAGAAAGCAACAAAGACTGTCACTACTGATTTGTTTATGTGAGTGTCGAGGGGATGCAAATTCATTCCTGTCCTTGTACAGGTTCGCTTTTGTTCACGGCGAAGTTCCACACACAATCAGGTTCATGCCGGAGTCTCAAGGGTACGCCGTGTGTTCTGGTGGATTCTCTGTGCCCGCCTCTTTCATCTCAGACTGCATCATGGAAACCCACCGACCCCTCGGACACGGCGACCCACCGAGACGGGCGTCGTGCCAGACCCTCAGCGACAAGACAGACACAGCACGGAAACCGGAGAGGTATTCAGTGCGTGACCCTGGCCTGGTCCGCTGCCAAGTTTTCAAGGGCAAATCCACTGTGGTCTGAGTGAAGGGCCCTCTGTGCCTGAGGGAACATATTTTAGCTGAGAGGACCGCGGAAGTGATGTAAGACTGAGTGTAACTTCATTCATATTTAACACAACTTTTAGGGGGTTGGCTTTGTTTATTCGCACAATGAAGACACAGAAAACGTACAATCGGGAAAGAATGTCATCACAGTACAGGAGAGTAAGGAGGCAGGCTCAGATTTAAGCTTGTTTTAAAGGACGCTAAGATTGCTCGACATTAGATAAGATAAAATAAGATAGTACTTTATTGATCCCAATTTAGGACATTTTTAGGAAGTCAGCTGAAGCTTAAGTTTTGATAAGATATCTGCATACCTCTTGCATTGATTCATTATTAAACACAGTGGTATCTCCACTTCCTCCTGCTTCACTCATAAAACTAATCTTAACTTCATAAGAACAGCTGTACCGCTGTGCTGTTTAATCAGGTTTTAGATAAGCACATCAAACCAAGTTTTTGCTTGTTAAAATCATTTATTAAAAAGGTTCTTCGTGCCAAAGACCTGACGTTTAATCCAGATAGTTTTAGTTTGCTAAAAGCATTATTTTACCAACGTTTTGTGGCGAGAAATTGATGCTATATTTCAGTTGAGTGACTGCTTCTTTGAAGATTCACCACGATCGCCCTTTCTCATCAAGACGGAAATAATGGAAAGCTATCAGCACACAGGGCCCTGGATTTTCCTGGAAGGAGTTTTGTACACACACACAACCTTATCAGACTGGGGAGACGGAGAAGGCTCCTTAATCTGGTCAGTGAACCCCAAGAGGGGGGAACAGAGAGGGGGGATGGATCCTCTGGTACGGGTAGAAGGGGTCAAGGTGGGTCAAAAAACCTCCTTTCTGCTCCGTAGTCTCCCGTGATTTACACCTTGTGTCAGGTGGGAGCTGTAGTGGTTACTCTCCAAGGTTTTTGCTGCAATTTCTTATGTTTTATTACTAATTTGATTCCTCTTGACGCGTGTCCTTGGCAGAGGGGTGACACAGGAAGCATTCTAGGTTAGATGTATACAATATTACTGAGACAACATCCATCTGCCCTATAGGAAGATGTCTGCAGTCCCAGACAAAAGTGACATTTTCATTACAATGGACGGTATATGCAGATGAAAGCCATGTGCTCAGTGCCAACAGTCTGCTGAATACTCTTAAATCCTCAGTGGCTCAGTATTCAGAGAACATGTTCAACAGATCAAAAGTCTCATTTAAGCATTTTCAAACATTCTGCACATTTGACCCAATGTGCAGAATGATGTTTGTTTTACAGTTTGGTGTGCAGCCCAGATATGAGAGACCTTATCCTTATGAAAACAGAGTATTCTGGCGTTGTCTTTACTCCACATGTTTTTTTACAGATAGACAGCACCACAATCTGAGTCTGAGGCCCAGTCGTTTCCCTGCTGGCTTTTACTTCCTGAGACACTTTCACTTCTTACCCTGCTGTGTGAACGGGAGAGACCATCTAGTGCCTCAGAAAGATCATTTGTTTGTTGCTAGCTCTCCTTTTAGAAGCTGTCCACGGCTTTCCTACTTTGTACAGGGTTAGAGAGAGGAGCTCTGCCAGCCGGCCACATCATAAATCTCAGAGGCAATGGGATTCCTCCTGCTGCTTGGTGGTCTTTTTGATTCTAATTAGCCCGCGTGTTAGCTTGTTTTTGTCCAATGCTTTGAGCCGTTTGTAAAGTTGTGGCCTTTTCATGTAGTCCAATCACTTCCAAGTTCACTTCCACTGGTGCATTTAGGTTTTCAGCACTGCAGACTTCGTAGAGATTTGCAGTAATCACTCTTGATGAAAGGGACATCTTGCTGCTTATTACTGTAGCTAAGTTCAATACAAATATTAGCCGGAAAATGCAACTGAGACAATGTATGGGTTCTTTAGGGAAACTGACAATAAGGGGATGTTCTGAGCAGTTTTGAGACATTGCCATTCAATTCCTGAACGATGCAATTATTTTACAAATATCTCCAAATGTCAAAAGTTGTTGATCCTAAATCACAGCATGAATTATTATATTGTGTTCCTCATGGTCTTATTGTGGTATTTGGGAAGGGTTTGTAAACATTATGATCAGTTCTTGAGTTGTCAACATGTTTAGATCTGCCCATAAATCTGTGTACAAAATGATACCAACACAAACATTGCTGCAACAACTTTTGAGACTGAAGTGAACCACCTATCAGAGCTTTGAGGAATGATCATCTCTCTCACTGAATGTCCTGCCGTGCAGTCACACACACTGTAGGTTCAGCAGTCTTTGTATTCACATCCAGAGAGAGCCAGTCTGAGCCCATGTGAGGCCCATTCATAGTGAGGCTGGCACGCAGGCTGAGGCACGTGGACCGCCTTCACCCGTCTCTCTTCTTACGTTTCTGTTCTCTTCATTTCTCTGCTGTCCTTTTCCTCTCCGAGTCTGAGGATTCTTAAGGTTGTTTCAGGGAGGGTCTTATATGCAGCGCTAATAGAAGCTAACAACTTCACAGCACTAATAGCCTGTTTCCACTTTCCACCAAGCCAGTTCCAGGGTCGGTTCAAAGCTGAAGCCCAATTGCGAAACCTTTTTTAATGTTTGGACTGTATCGGCGACTGGTTTGAATCAAGCACCGATTTTCTGCCCAGTTAACACCAATTGCCGAGAGCCATATAAGTCAGAGTTGTTGTCAGAGACTAGGGTGGGATTTGGAGACATTTTTCGAGTCCAAAGTAGCGACGTTAACTGTGAAGTCATGAGTAGTGTCCTATCTCTCTGGTCGGTGGAAAGCAAACTGGTTCTTATGAGCTTTGCAACCTGAACCAACCCCCCAAAACAAGCACTGAACTCAAACAAAACACATTTCAGTGAAAACATTTAGTATGGAGGAAAGGGAGCATTAGTGTTACAAAGTATGGCAGGGTTTAGGTACGATACAAACGTCCGTCTTTCCATGAGATCCGGGGCGTTTTCAGTAGAGTTTCTCCCAGAGGCTCCCAGTGCGTGGGATGGATCAGTATTCAACATGCCTCGGTCCCTACATCATAGGTTGATTTAATATCTTTGTGTGTAACCTTCATTGTGTTCTCTCCCTGCTGTCTGTGGGAAGATGGAAGGGTTCTGAGGGGCTCTGGGGGGGGTTTTCTGGCCGGACAAAGAGCTGTGTGGTTCGGCTGTCTACGGGCTCTCAAGGCCAAACGGTGCAGGCCTGATGGACCCTTTAATAGTTATCTGTCATCCATCATTAAATATGGATGATCAATAAACCCAGGTTTCATTGGAAGACCTCACTGTAAATACTGTTCATTATCGTTTTTAATGTGTTGTATAGTGCTGTACAGTAACTAGTACTTGGTAGATGTGTTAGAATAAAGGAGGTTACAAATGTAAGTCCTCCCTACTTCTTTGTATTTTCTCCTGTTCTCCCCCCCTGCCCGTTTTGCATTTGATCTCCTCCATAAACTCTCACTCTGACGTGTGCCATGCCATACCTTGCACTGCATGGCTCCATCCCTCCCTCCCTCCCTCCCTTCCTCCTTCATGTAACCTCCATGCAACCACTGCTGTTACACAATCAGCCATTGACTATCTTTTTCAATGTTTGCCATCATAGCTCCACCTGTTGGTGAAAAGTTGAAATGTTATGTAAATGCATTATACTTGCATTTATATTTCTTTGTCACTTCCTACATCTCCAGATTAAATCCTTTAGTGTTTGGTCGATTACAGTTACATTCTCCTTAAGCCCAGGTCTTCCAATTTCTTGTTTTGTCCGACCCTACAAAGATATTCAATATGTTGCAATTTATTATTTTTACAATAGATGAACTGTTGTTGTTTTTCGAATCATTTATGATTTGTTGATTGTAAGAAAAGAGTAAAATATTCACTTCTGCATACTGAATCCACAATGATGTATAATTGTGAATTCCCTGTTGATCATCTAATATTTATTATGTTATTTTAAATGGTGTTTCTTAAGATGCAATACTTCAGCACTGCTTTTGTATTTTCTTTATATGACATCAGTTCTTTCCCTCCAGGTCCAATCAGCAGCATCCTCGTGAACAAATATGGCAGTCGACCAATCATCTTAGTCGGAGGCTGTCTGGCCAGCACCGGGCTCATCTTGGCGTCATTCTGCAACACGGTGGGGCAGCTCTACTTCTGCATAGGAGTAGTGGGAGGTCAGTGACAAAACTGCAAATATAACCAGAAGTACTTCAACTCAAATCTGTTTCGAAAACAGAAAGTTCTGATCCTTCTGATTGGCTGAGCCGCATTCCAACCTCCTCAATACTCTGAAAACATACAGCTGTGATTGCATTACAATATTATCACTGTGCCAATAAGTCACCTATTATCAGTGGTTTGAAGAGATGGACCGGATAGAGGAGAAAGGGATACATTAGTACAACAAATATAATAACGAAATTATATTGCTTGGTGGAGACATTTCATTGAATGGATTTTTTATCAATGAAATATTGATTGTATTTCTTTAAAAATACAAAAAGTGAAAGGTGTATGTAAAATAGTTTGTTCTATCGTTGTTATTATTCTGTCTTTTAATGTATTATTTTTTGATCACTTTTCCATTTCTCATCTAATTAATAAAGTGTCCCCATGAACGATATGATGATGACGAATCTAGTGGAGACGGATTAGATCTTATTTTATTTTGCATGCTTGTTTCTTGTCTTTCCCAACTTTATTTTTATAGGATGTAAAATTGTAAACAACTGAAATGAGGTTATGTAGTTATCATTCTCTTTTGTAATGACTTTGGTTGGCAGAAAGAAAAAAAATGTACACCCTTTCTTCTCCTCAAGTAACCCTACCTTTCTGTCCCCCCCCCCCGACCCTCTCTCTCCCTCCAGGTTTGGGTCTAGCGTTTAACTTGAACCCCGCCCTCACCATGATCGGTAAATACTTCTACAAGCGCCGTCCCATCGCCAACGGCATCGCCATGGCGGGCAGCCCGGTGTTCCTCTCCACCCTCGCCCCGCTCAACACCTGGCTGTTCGACCAGTTCGGGTGGAGGGGCAGCTTCCTGATCCTCGGGGGACTCCTGCTCAACTGCTGCGTGGCCGGCGCCCTCATGCGGCCCCTCAGACCCTCGCCCCAAAAAGCCAAGCCCGACGCAGAGGCCAGCGAGGTGAAAGCCGCGGAGCCAGTCGCGCCGCAGCAGAAGAAGACCGTCATGCAGACCATCAACTCCTTCATCGACCTGACGCTGTTCCAACACCGCGGCTTCCTGCTCTACCTCATGGGGAACGTGGTCATGTTCTTCGGCCTCTTCGCGCCGCTCGTCTTCCTCTCTAACTACGCCAAGAGTAAGGACATCACCAAAGAGAAGGCGGCCTTCCTGCTGTCCGTGCTGGCCATCGTGGACATGGTCGCCCGGCCCTCCATGGGCATGCTGGCCAACACCAAGTGGGTCCGGCCCAGGATTCAGTACTTCTTCGCCACCGCCGTGCTCTATAACGGCGTGTGCCACGTGCTGGCGCCGCTCTCCGTGGACTACACCGGCTTCGTGGTGTACGCCATCTTCTTCGGGTTTGCGTTCGGCTGGCTGAGCGCCGTGCTGTTTGAGACGCTGATGGACCTGGTGGGACCGCAGAGGTTCTCCTCCGCCGTGGGGCTGGTCACCATCGTGGAGTGTGGGCCGGTGCTGCTCGGACCACCGCTGACAGGTAAAACACCCACAATGCATCACAGGAAGGGGGGAACTTCACTTTTTCACTTTTTTGTTGTTGAATTATATAAAGTACAGGACAATTTGTCTGTTAAAGGAAATCCCCACCCCTACCCCATTAGGTCATGGTCACAAAACAATAATAATACAAATACATAAAATAATAAATACAATAAAATAAATAACTCACATCAAAAAGTCACAGGTAACAGGAATACAAACAATTCACATTGAGTAGAATAGTAAGTAACTAAATGAAGACATGGGAGAACAATAAGGGATACACTGAGTACCGGTCAATGTGAAACAGGAAGAAAGAAAAATATGGGGCTCTCTCTCTCGCCCCCCCCCCCCCCCCCCCCCCCTCACTCTTGTATACGTTTGAGTTTGTTTATTATTGTGGATAAATCTCTGCAAACAGTACATTAGTCAGACTCTCGATACACTGAGCATACACACATTGTTTCCTACCTCAGATGTTTAAACTTAAAAAGATAAAATGTCAATGGTAACATGTTGACATGTTTCCCACGTACAGGCTCTTTCCATTGTTCTGTCAGCATAACCTTCTTTCACTTCACCGCCCATACTACACACCTCTGAAGTTGTTTAGAAATAAGAGCTGCAGTTGTAAGTGAACACAATTATTTATCCATCAGGCAAAAAATAACAGTTTTTATAATGGATTTATAGCAAGAAATGCTCTTTTTAACTTCTCAAATGTGACCATTTTCAGTTTTCTGTCATGATTGATGATAAGCTGAATTTATTTTTGGTTTTATTTTTGATGTTGAGGGAAAACAAAGACAGAAGTTAATATATAATGGAAAAAAAATAACTGTTGCAAATTTGGAAGTGGAAAAAAGTCAGGCAGCTGCATTCCTACTTTAATGTCTGTCAGTTTGGTCGTTATCGATGGTGAAAATAGCAGAAAATGAAGATTAAATCTGAATTGTTTTCATTCTTGTCCACCTTCAGGAAGTTTCTATAACTACTACGCGCACTATGACTACACCTACATCTCCTCCGGCATCATCCTCATCGTCGCCAGTGTGATCCTCTTCGTGGGAATGACCATCAACTACCGCATGCTGGCGCGGGAGAAGAAGGAGGAGGAGAGGAGAGAGAGGGACGAGCCTAAGGAGGAGCTCACCGCCATGTTGGCGCCTCCTTCTCCGTCAAAATCTGACGAGTTGGCGGAGAAGAAAGCACCAGAGGCCGTCGCGCTGGAGAACGTGGCCAGGATGGACGAGGACACGGTGTAGATTTTTTAATTTTTTAAAACAGACTCAAGAAGGACGCACACGCTTCACAGAAACCGAAACCCACGCCGTTTTTATAGAGAGGTAAATCCCTGAAGCCATAGACACCTAAGTTTATCTTTGGAAACAGAGACAGCTGCTGTGACGTGAGCTCGCCAAGGAGCTTTCACCGAGTCCTTTTGGCGCCTCTGGTGACCTCGAGTCCTCCAGGAGCTCACAGACTCTAACACACCAGCTAAACGTTATACGAACACCTGATAGACGCACAGCAGACAGAATGACTGTAAGATAACATTTTAGGATACTAATCTCAGGGTGCCATTACGGTTTAGAACCTCACACACAAACATGCATGATATCCACACAAACTTTTTGGTGTAGTTTCCTGGCATTGCTTCACTCCTGCAGGGCTGGACATAAATGAAAGGACACGTTTATATCACAGTAGAGCTGTTCAAAAAATTTACAATTTGGGAGAAATACGTCCAGAAGTCATATTTTTAACTCTTAGAAACAAATAAATGGGAAACTAAGGAGGTTAAATGTAGGTACATTGAGAGGTCTGAAGGGTCACACTGATAGCAGTTTAGGAGCCACTGTTAACGGTGTGCTTGTACTTAAATGTGTGCACTTTGTGTGTGTGTGTGTGTAGTTTTGTGTCACAGCCTAGAACCGGAGCAGCTCATCATGCGTTGCCGTATTGATAAAGACACATTCGAACAAAGCGCTCACACAGTGGCTCCCCGCAGACTCTCCTGCCGAGTGACCGGCACTCACAGTATTACATGACATCTCACACTGTTTTTTTGGGGGGGGGATAATGGTTGTGTGTATTCCAGATCTATTGGTTTACAGGGTGTGTGTGTGTATCTGCCCGGTTGTGCTGCCAAAATAGGAAAATACAATTATGGAGATTATACACAATCCTATTTTTTTATCATTGTGAAATAAAGTAGTACCGGATAGCGTTGTTTTTAAAATGTGAATAACACTTTGTAGTTAAATCAACAAACCTTTGTAATTTTAAAGATAATATATGTTAGCTTACTGTTCAATACAGCGGTGTGTTAGGGCCATTGTACGTAAATAAACAGGAAATAAATTCAGGTATTTTTGAAGATTACATTTGTAAATGTACAAGAAAAAAACATGAATATTCTTTGAGATTATTTACATTTATGAGAAGAAAACGGAAATGTGATTTTCTCTGTTTTCTTTAGTTTTTTCCCCCATGTAAATGAACCACTTTTTTTTCTTGAAATGTACTACTTATTATCGCCAACCCCAGTTCTGTAATATATACATTTTTGACATTCAATGGCACTAATACGCCTGTGTGTGTGTGTGTGTGTGTGTGTGTGTGTGTGTGTGTGTGTGTGTGTGTGTGTGTGTGTGTGTGTGTGTGTGTGTGTGTGTGTGTGTGTGTGTGTGTGTGTGTGTGTGTGTGTGTGTGTGTGTGTGTGTGTGTGTGTGTGTGTGTGTGTGTGTGTGTGTGTGTGTGTGTGTGTGTGTGTGTGTGTGTGTGTGTGTGTGTGTGTGTGTGTGTGTGTGTGTGTGTGTGTGTGTGTGTACAGACAGTTGAATCTGTACCCAGGTTTCATCATTTCACTTTTTTATATCTATCCGCTGCAGTATCAACCGTCTCTCAGTTTGTCTCTGAGCTGTGCAGAACGTCTCATATCTGATTTCATGTTTCAGTTTGAAAAATCGATCACAGAAACTTCATAATGAATTATGCATTAATCTCACTGCCAACATCTGTCAGAGGTTTTGTGTCCGGATGAAAGACAGCAGGAGACGTGGGACCTCTTCAGCCTGAACAAACTTTCCTTATTTTCTCTAGTTGGAAAATAAATGGAGGTTTCAAACAATTCACTAATAGCTATAAATGTTTCATGTAAAATTATGAAAGCAAAATATACATTTAAAGTAAAACTGTTATCTTTTGCTGTGATCACTTCTTGAAGTATTATTTACCCTGAGCTTTATATAAAATTCTATAAAGGATTTTAAAAATATTTTTCAAGTAAACAAATTACACAAAAGACCAAAAAACACTTTTTGTCTGTGATCCTGAAACCTGTTATATTTTATATCTAATAATGTTTACTCAGCATACACATTACTCAATAATGTATTCATCCACAGCAGAAAATAGACCCTAACTAACGCCCTGTTATACTCCAGCTTGAGAAACATTTGCTCTAAACCTCAGTCCGGCTGTACGGGACACTCTTTGTAAAAAACTAATGAAGTGAATGAATGTGTGAGCCGTTTAAAGAGACTTACAAGTGAAGGACACCAGAAAGTATTGAGAGCCAGGCGGACATTTTGGAACCGTGTAAATTTAGAAAAAGTCCTGAAATATAAAAAAGAAATTACACTTGGCTTTAAAAGTATATAGAGAAAAGAAAAATGCTTCTAAGTGCAATGAAAACAAGTTTCTGCTCCGCTGAAGAGATTCATAAATATATTACTTTGCCGTCAAGTTTTCTAAATGTATTGCATTTTTCCCGAATGGAGAATTACCGCCACCTACTGTTGGTTTTACTAAACTACTACTCGTTTATCAAGATTGTCTTTTGCCCATATTCCTGAATTTGGGTTTAAATGTGCGATACGTTTGGAAGGAAACCCCGCGGTTGTTACTTTGTCGTTTTAATAACATTTGCTGAAATTACAATAACATATTATCCACTTCCTCTTTTATAATCTGAAGGAAAATTAAACCTTTGAAATGTTTCTCTGCTTAAGTAGGAATGTGAATAAAGGTAATGGAAAGGGTTTACTCGTGTTTGCTTCGGTGCCCGGTGAGGTGGTTTTCTTACAGTATCTTTGTAATTACATTTTTTTATCATTTCATATTCCAGCTATTCCTCAAAAAACATGTTTTGAATATCATGCCATTCTAATTTTAAATTTAAATTTTAAGAAATTGTAGTTTTTGTAATACTACCCCAAGCTTCCATAAGTGGGTCTTTTTTGACCCGGTGAGGTGGTTTTCTTGAAGTACCTTTGTAATTAAATTTTTTTTTTTCATTTCATATTCCAGCTATTCCTCAAAAAACATGTTTTGGATATCATGCCATTCAAAAATGTTATTTACATTTTAAGAAATTGTAGTTTTTGTATTACTACCCCACAGCGACGTGGAGGCAGGGGAGGCAGAGCCTCACCTGTCATACTCCAATGTAACGGAAAAACAATTAAAGAAAAACGAAATAATAATAATAATAAAATGTCTCCACTGATCTTGTGTAAATGTGATTTCTGTATGATTCCAATCGCATTTTATAGTCAAAATCAGCTAATTTGCCGAGCTCCGCTACGGGAGCGATGAGAAGTGAGGCAGGGACGTGCTCTGCCTCTCGTAAGCCCACAGTAAATTGCTGGAGCGCGGGCACTAATTTAGCACGGCCACTTATTTTGTGAGCGCACTCAAGCCATTTACTGTGGGGTGAGGTGAGGCACAGATGAGCACTGCCTCACTTCAGAATGCGTCACCCCACAGAAACTGGCTGGAAAGCGGGCCCTAAGCGCATGCCTGTTCCCATCTCACTGTAGGTCACCAATGTAATGTTTGTAGATCCCTTTATTACATTTATCCTCGCCATCCATAGTCTCTAAATAACTTATTTCACGTATATGATATTTAGGCTCGCTGGTCTCATCGTACAACGGCAATGAAAAAAGCACCAGGAGAGGCAGCCATAACCTCTGCCGCACTGAAGGGGGCGCACGTGAGCCCACAGGTTCTTGTTGCTACTGTTATTCTACGCAGAGACGGTAGACGCAAACAACAAACTAGACTTTTGAAACTACAGGAAGATAAGGAGGACTTTTACAAAACAGTAATAGAGATTGTTGTCCAGAAGGATAGCATAGACTTATATTCATCTTCAAGTCAAGGTAAGACCAGAACTGTAATGAAAATGGGATCTTACTTAGAAAGAACAATCCAATATTTAGATTTTGGGTATCCTTTTGTTGATCGGTCTGTTTAAAATTAATCATAGCATCAGACTAAAAAAGCTTTTGAAAATAACAGAATATTTCGATTAAGGTCAAAATAGGCTATAATATTTGTAAATCTGACTCTGAAAGAGTCAGATTATCAGTGGTGGGGAATAACTAATTACATGTATTACAGATCTGTGCTTCCTTAGCGTGTGTAGGCTGTTGTCTAAACGTCTGTCGGTACCAATGGGAGTTCCCTCTCCTTCTACAAGTATCCAGCTGTGTCGGGAAATTGAATCAAATGTATTTTCTAAATTTTCTGCAGACCTCCAAACTGATTTCCTTCAGCTAGAGTGCACCGACACTCAAGAAAAGCTTATTCATAATAAGTTGTATTTACTTTTAATATGAATTGACTAAAACCTTCAATTATTTCGCTTTTTCACGAGTATTAGAAAGAAACGTTGACACTTTAAAACAACTAAAACATTTTATTGAAACATGTGAATGTTAGTTTTCATCCGGTGCAAGTTTTCTTTTTAAACGGTCCTGCAGCAGCACATTTTCGTCTTTACAAATAAATAAATACAAGAACAAATCATTGTGTTAAGTTTGTAGAAAATGTTGTTTTTTTCATGGAGATGTTTTTCTGTGAATTTGTATGTATGGACTGTTTTTAGGACTTTTGAGGGGATGAATAAACTGTTTTTAAAACATATCTCATTGAATTTGTTCTGTTCTGAAAGGGAATGTTGTTTTTAATCAAAAGTCACCCGAATATGTGCATTTACTATAACTACACTTTATAAAAATGCATTACAGCAGTTTGTATCTAAACTATCTGTTTCTTTCAGGCAGAGTTTTAAATGTGAAATATATAACTAGCCTTATTTTCTATATCAATGATCAAGCAGTTCTCTAAATGGCTACCTTAACACCGTGTAAAGCACTTAAGTCAATCTTTTCCAAAGGGTTAATCTGACAATTAGTGTTTTTATATGTGGGTTTGTGCCGGACTGAGGAAGCAGCGGTGAATTCCTGCAGGAAAACATCATTCATTCTTAAATTAAAGCAGCTTAGCAAACAGGATTTGCTTGTCAGAACCTCTAAACTTCACTTATTAAGATGTTATAATGTACAAATGACTTTATATTAATCTGTAAAAGAAACAAAATGTATTTCCCTAACTATTATTTAAACAAGAAAAAGGAAGCTCTAGTTTTTGTAGAAAGACAAGATAAAGACTTTGCAGGATTTGCACTTGACTGTGTCGTGTGTGGTGTGTGTTGCATTTGTTGTGGTGTGTGTGGTGTGTGTGTGTGTGTGTGTTCAGTAGTTGGAGTTGTGTGTGGTGGTGGTGGAGTCGCTGGGCAGGGAGCCGCGGCGCTGCGAGGTGGAGCGGCAGAGCAGCAGCAGGCGGAGCTCCGGAGAGACGCTGCTGGAGAAGGCCGAGTAGATCCAGGGGTTAGTGCACGAGTTCAGACTGGCCAGCAGCATCAGCAGGGTGAACACCGCATCTACACACACACACACACACACACACACACACACACACACACACACACACACACACACACACACACACACACACACACACACACACACACACACACACACAACACACACACACACACACACACACACACACACACACACACACACACACACACACACACACACACACACACCACACACACACACACACCACACACACACACACACACACACACACACACACACACACACACACACACACACACACACACACACCACACACACACACACACCACACACACACACACACACACACACACACACACACACACACAGAGCGTTGATCAAATTCAGTATTATTATTATTGCAAAGTCCTCATCATCCAGAAGGGCTCCATACCACTACGTTTTTTTTTGCACTACTAAATACTGTTAATATGTACATTAATTATGTGACCATCTACATTTCCTGTAGTTATTGAATTGCTCTTTTTACTGCACTGCTAGTGTACAGTTTTATTATTATGCTGCTGTGTTAATTGTATTTTTGTAACCCTGGCACAACAATTTCCTTCGGGATGATTAAAGTCTTATCGGAAGTCGTACATTATTATAGAATGTTATTTTATTCAGATTGTATCACCAATGAATACCTGTAAGAGTATTTTCATATAGATTTGAAATGTGGAGTCAACTTTAGGTACCTTGTATATTACTGGGTAGATTACAGCACTGCATCTCATCAGCTTAATATATGTGGTTTTTGTTTGTGTGTGTGTGTGTGTGTGTGTGTGTGTGTGTGTGTGTGTGTGTTGTGTGTGTGTCCAACAATGCAACATGAATATATATATATAGGACATAGAACAAATAAGAGATAAAAAGAGCAAGAGAATGTTTTGAGATGTGCAAGTAAATACAAATCAAATAGAAATAGTCAACATAGAAGTAAATGGAATGATATGTTAGATGCATCATTTGCTAAATGCAATCAGTTGAATGTTTATGGATGTTCTTTAAAAGGTGCAGGTGTTTAATGGTCTTATGGCCTGTGGAATAAAACTGTAAGGCAAGTTTATTTTATATAGCTCTTTCCAACACAAGGCAATTCAAAGTGCTTTACAAAAATGAAAGACATTAAGAGCATAAAACACATTCGAAAGCAAAGATAATAAAACATGAATAACACAGGCACATGAATAACACAGGTACATGAATAAGTTACAGTGCAGTGTAAGATGTGAATAGTTCAATTAAAAGCAGCGACAAAAAGAAAAGTATTCAGCTTGGATTTAAAAGTAGTAAGAGTTGCAGCGGACCTGCAGGTAGTTTGTTCCAGATATTTGGCAATACTGTACCGTTCTGAGGGTGGTGGGGGTCCCAGGCGGCCCACAGCTGGACGCTGAAGAAGGGGGCCCAGCAGAGCGAGTAGACCAGCACGATGACCAGCGTCATCCTGACCGTCTTCGACATGGCCGCTGATACCCCCCCACTGCGGGCCTTGGGCGGGGGGGATTTGAGTGGGGGGGCTGGGAGTGGGGGGGCTTTAGGCGGGGGGGCTTTGGGGCCGCAGGCAGCAGGGGGCGCTGCAGGGCCCGGCAGCACGTCAGGTTGCAGCTCCACAGACAGGAAGCCGTGGTTATTAGCAGACACTAAAACAAACACAGGAGGTCAAAAAACATATTGACTTAAAAAACTGTCACAGCGAAACAGTCAAACTGGTACAAAGTTAAAGGTCACCTATTATGCAAAATGCACTTTTTCATGTCTTTGTCTCTGTGGAAAGAGAGTCTGAAAGTTTCAGGAAAAAAGATACAACTAAGAACTGCCTCTCTCTTTTTGTCCTGATCCATTTATATAAAAACCTGTCTGAAAATGAGCCGATCAGATTTTGAGGGGATTATGGGATGCTACAATGATCTGTTTGGTATTTTGAGCCAAACACTTCAGAGAAATGTTTTGTATATATCTGAGACCTATAATATATTGATTAAAAACAGTATAATAGGGGACCTTTAAAGAAAGTCAAATGTAGTGTCTGATGGTTGTTCCACTTGTGCCTACCCCTAATACTGCAGATCAACCTGGCAGAAATCCTCTTGTCTTTTTCAGATGTATATTCTTTTATGCGTGCTCCTTGTATAAACAAGGATTCATAATAGTTTTACAATAAGTCTTGTTTACTGTAGTGTTAATTGTGATGTAATGTTATAATCAATAGAATAATGATAGTAATAGTAATAATAAATGAATGTATAATAATGTTTAGAATAATTGTGTTGGGTGTGCCGTTTAACAATATTATTTCTAAAATTGCAAATACAAAATAAAATAATAATAATAATTATAACCTTGCAGAATTAGGATTTATTAACGGAAATAAAAAAACTAACTCACCATAGTCAGCAGTGTAGGTGTTGTCGCTGTGTGAGGTGACGCTGTTGGGCGGCTGGTAGACGGGGGCGGGGCTAAAGCTGCTGTCATTCAAGGGGTTTTTGAACACGAGGGGTGAAACATACAGGGGGAGATCTGACCTCCTTCTGACTCCTTCTCCTCGCTGGCTGTCCCGCCTGGAGGGGGAGAGGGAGGCGGGGGAGAGGCGGCGGTCCGACTTCAGGTACAGGTTGTTATGGATCTCCTTGAAGATTCGTACCTGAAGGAAAATGTTGTGAAATAAGAACAGTTCAGAATCAGAAACAGGCCAGGTAGGTTTACACGTACGAGCATACATAAAAGTAAAACAAGAATTAAAAACACAGGTAGAGTACTATAAAAATATTAAGAATAATACAAATATAGTAAAATATAACAGTATTTACAATACAATGGAATGGAATAAAAATCGGCAGTAATACAAAAAAGAAAACAGTCCAACATCCAAGATCTAAAATCCCATCACAGAAGATGGTCCCTGTTGTTTTGTGTCTCCCTGTAAATCAAACTCTGGCTCGCCCCTCTCTACCTGGCAGACGGTGATGATGAGGACGGGGAGGATGAAGACCGCCAGAGTCATCCAGGTGACGTAGGCCTTGAGGCCCCACGACTCAGCAAAGTTCCCCCAGCAATCGTATTCTCCTGGAGACCGTTCAGAGCGGGAGAAGATGAACACCTGGAGGAGCAGAGAGGAGAGGGCGGACATCTTATTCTGATTTTAAAAAGCTCTATTAAGATTTTTGGGGTGTTCCCTTTCCTGTCGTGTGCTATATAGGTTTTTGTGCATGTAAATGGTCTGCAAAGGCTAAAATCCCAAACGTCCCTCGAGAGGGAGTTTCTCTCGCGCACACTCCCTAATCTCATGTTTTAGGATTTAAAATTGTATTAATATATAAACTTGATTCAATTGATTAGCTTCAGTGAAATAGTGTGCCCTTCTTATGAAAAGTTTTTTTTAAGTGCCTTTCAGAAATAGCAAAGGGCTTAATAAATTATTATTAGTATTGAGAAGGAAAAAGACAAAAATGCTGAAGCCACTCATTCATAAATCACACAATTATAAAAGAGACAACCCTTAATCTTAAAACAGCATGAAATAAATCAATACAATAAGGTCCAAAGAAACAGCAGATATAAAACATCACGTAAGGAAATTAAAATATTTTACTGTTTGTGACAAATAATTGATAGATTTTTCATTATTTAATTTAATTTTGTATAACGGACCGTCCACACAGCAGCGTTAAAAAATCTTGAAACGCTTCTGCCCATTCACTTTGAATGGGGTGACGTCACTTTTCGCCGAACTGCATTGTGGGCAGGCGAGCGGAGATTTTCAGGATTTTCAGGATTCAAAAGTTGAGCAATGTTCAACTTTTGAAGCTAAGGTGGAAGCGTCAGCCAATCAAATCCTGTGTATGCAAATCTGACAGTTCAAGCGCTAGCCAATCAAACCGCGTGTATGCTGGGAGAGACATACCGCAGGTCATTTCCTCATATTCCAAAACATGGAGGAGAAATTAGCGGTAGGGAATCACCCGGTGCTTTATGACCAGTCCCTATTTACCTACCGGGATATAAACCGGAGGAGCCAGGCATGGAGGGAGGTGGCAGAGACAGTGGTAGGTTTTCGCCTGTTTGGGGAGTTTATATCCAGTTTACTTCGGGCTTTTTTGCTTCGTATGTCGGGGGCAGGAGATTCATGTGATTGGTTGTTGGTGTCTTGCTCGCAAAAAATCCCCAAGCTTCAGATACGCCCACCTCCAAGATTTTTTTAACGCTGCTGTGTGGACGGGCCGTAAGACTTCCTTAAAGGTGGGGTAGGTAATTTTGGAGAAACCAGCTCGAGTGCGCTAGAATTTGAAAATACACAGCTGGAACAAATCTGCCACTTCCTTACAGAGCCCCTCCTCCAACACACACGAACGCGCACATGACCAATGAGGGCACGAGATAAGTTTGTGCCCCGATGGAAGGCTGACAGGCAGGTAGGCCATCCAGTTATTTTAGCCGGGCCGGCTAAAATGATTGGTCGTGCTTTTTACAGTATTACGGCTTCCACAGATGACATTTTTTTATGGATTTTTTGTCAAAGCACTTAAAATATTCATTGCTATCGGGATGTTAAGAGCATTCCATGGAATATAACAAAAAGTGTATCTAGAGCCGGTTTCTCAAACTTACCTACCCCACCTTTAAGTCAGTGATATTTCCCTGCAAATAAATAATAAACTTAACAAATAATCAAACCCTTAGTGTATAGTCTACCTGTGTCTCCCTCCCTGTATCTCTCCCCCCTCCCTGTGTCTCCCCCCCCTCCCTACCTGTGGCAGGCTGAGCACCAGTGACAGCCCCCAGGCCAGCAGGATGCAGCTGTTCCAGCGCTGCGTGGCCCCGCTGCGGTGCGCCAGCAGGGGGCAGCAGATGGCGTAGTGCCGGTCCACCGTCATGGCAACGATCATGTAGGAGGAGGCGAACATCCCGAGGACCTGCAGGTACTTCACCAGCCGGCACAGGAAGTCCGGGCCGGGGAATAGGCCTTTAGCATCCCACACCAGCTGGGGCAGCACCTCAGAGGGGGAGAGCAGGGGGAGCAGAGTGAGATGCAGCCAGTGTGTGTGTGTGTGTGTGTGTGTGTGTGTGTGTGTGTGTGTGTGTGTGTGTGTGTGTGTGTGTGTGTGTGTGTGTGTGTACCTGGAACAGCGCCACCACCAGGTCAGCTAAACAGAGGTTGATCATGAAGCGGTGCAGCGGGTTCTGTTGGCGTCTCCGCCTTAGCAACACCAGCAGCACCAGCCCGTTACCGAGCAACGCCATCACCAAGATCACCGCCAGCAACACGACCTCGGCAACCGCCAGCAGAGCGTCACGCTGCACCTTTGTGACGTTACTGTATACAGGAGTCATGGGGACCACCGACCAGCTGAGGGACGGGTCTGTTACCGGGGACACTGACATGATGACTGCGGCGAGGAAGAGGAGGAGGAGAGGAAAGGATAAGGAGAGGAAGTGAGGAAGATGACATGAATAGGAAAGAAGAGAGTAGAGGAAGAGAAAAAGGGCAAGTTTAAGCAACAATTAAAGTCTAAAACATTTAACCAATTTGTTATCTGCTGTGATTGGTCAACCGCTCAGAGATGTCCCGCCCCTTAGCCCAACAAAATGTGTTGGAATGCTAGACTATAGAAGCGTGAGTTTTACATAGTGATGTCACTATGTTCAGTAAGTAAACAAAGGAGTCCAATGGAGGCGTTTCAGGCATGGGGGGGGGGGGGGGGAGTGTGTGGGAGAGAAACTCCCTCTTGAGGAACACAGGGATTTGAGCCTTTGCACACCATTTACATGCACTAAAACCTAGTTAACACACTGCAGGAAAGATCAGGTAATGCTCTTTTCAAAAGCTAAAAAGACACCAGAGCCTGTTTTAGAAATTGTAACTACGCAAGGAATAAAACTTGAAGTGGTTACCTGTTACACATACCTTGGTATCTGGCTTGATGACTGTCTCACTTTTAAACGTCATGTCAATAACCTGCTTAAAAAGCTGAGGGTTAGGCTAGGTTTCTTCTACAGGAACAAGTCCTGTTTCTCGCTCGAGGCCAGGAAAAGGCTAGTCACTGTGACCTTTTGACCTGTGCTGGACTATGGTGATTTGTTTTATATGAATGCACCTGCCCATTGCCTGATCAAGTTAGATGCTGCGTATCACAGTGCACTGAGAGTTGTGACAAACTGTAAAGTATTAACCCATCACTGTACCCTGTATGCAAGGGCTGGTTTGCCTTCGCTAACTGTACGGAGGCTCAGTCACTGGTACATTTTTATATACAAAGCCATGTTAGGGAAACTTCCATCCTACTGTACATCTGCTCCCTGATCTCACGGCGAATTGGAAGTGGCTACTGCCTGAGATCGCATGCTGTGGTTTTATTAAATGTGCCAACTGCTAGGACTGTCTTAGGGAAGATAGCTTTTAGATGCGCAGCTCCACTGTCTTGGAAAAGTCTGCAAATTAAATGGAAACTGAGCAATCTGGTGCCACTAAATGTTTTTAAAGCTCGGTTGGATGCTACTCAATCGGTTGCTGTTGGTACCTGTTCATGTGGATAGTTATGTAAATTGTGACCCCTGTAATGATGCTGTATGATGTCCTTTTTGTTGTTGTGTTGTTTTATGTTTTTATGTGTCATGTGGAACCTACTGAGCAGGTCTCCCTTGAAAAAGAGATCAATGATCTCAAGGGATACACCTGGGTAAATAAAGGCTTGAAATGAAAGATGAGGAAAGACAAAACCCCAAAAAGCATAATAGGGGCTCTTTATATTAAATAGCAAAAGTGTATATGTTATATGTATATACTTTAAGAAGTAACTATAGCTCTCAGATACATGTCCTTGAATAAAAAGTACAATATACTTCTGAATTGAAGTGGAGTAGATGTGAAGTGGCATTACATTGAAATACTGTTGGAAATGGTAGATAAGTACAGCACTTGAGTATCTCCTTTTGACCATTGCCTGTGAACTTATAGCGTGATAGTTTTCCCAATTAGTGAATTCAAATGAACAGTTCCCATGTTTTCTCTGCAGTCCTCGAACATATTGCCAGAAACCCTCAGAGGACGTATTGTGACCCCAGTTATGAAACGTTATTCTATCCACAGTTTATTTATAATGACCGTCGACTCTGGTGTTGTGTGTTTATTATTAATCTGCTTGTTCGAGGGCATAGCTGTTACAACGTGTATTGAATCTGACCTCTGCCGCCCGTTAACAAACACACACAGCTGCAATTCGCCGGAGTGTGTGCGCGGGGTCAACCTTTACGTTAATTGCAAAACAATGGGATGTGTGAGCATGTTTATAGCAGCTCCTTCACACACTTTTACACTTCAACACACACAATTACAGAGCATGCAGAGAGGGCCCCTCTGAGGGACAATGTGCACGCTCTGATGGAGTCACAGTGGTTTCACCAATCTGCAGCAATCAACATTACACACTAAGTGGCACCTATTAGTTGTATCTCTGTTTAGTTGTTATTTTAGTATTTATTATTATATACTTCAGCTCATATATTACCTTTTATTTTAGTTGTATTTCTTTTTTGAAAAGTGCTATTCAAATGGTTATAATTATGATCTATTTTTTGTATTATTATTACTTTATTTAATATTATTTTGTATTATTAGTCGGTTTACTGCATAAAGAAGCACATTGTAATTGTTATATTTTAAAGGTTGACAGCCGTAGTTACTATGAATATGAAAATGTTGCCTTTCCAACAATGGAAGTGGTTTTCATTCATAAATCCCCTCTAAAAACACTTTATTGTTATTTGCTAAGAGGCCACATAACCAATATTTTACAAAACAAAAAGCTAAGCAAACATGTTTCTTCATTTTCCATCTCTCATTTATCGTGTTAAAAGAACTGTATGTAAAGAAGTGAAGCTACTACAATCAAATGCTGCTTACATATTGATGTATAAGTATACATAACATCTATTTGTTAGATTTGTTTGGACATTCACAGCAGAACAAATACTTTTAGTTTTCAAACTTTAGGAACATTTTCGCTGATAACACTTTTTGGATGCAGGGCTTTTTTAGATCCGAGTGCTTCTTCCATTACTGCAGGAACAAAAGCACGCCGCTGACAGCCTCATCCATCTGTATTATCTCAGAACAGCTTCCCAGTGCACTCTGCAGTCCTGTGATGCATTAGTCTTATCTTGTCAAATAGCCTTTAACAGTAATTCTGCCTGTAAACATAAGGCTGGAAACACAATGCAGTAAATTAAGATTAAGCTCTGTAAAAGCATCTGTCTTCTTTGCATTTCCTTTGAGCTTAGTTAGTTACAGTTAGAACGTTTAAGTGACACTCTGTGGATGAAAATATGTCATTTTAAGGCTCCACATTTAGCAGCAGAAATCCTTTTGCTGGCGTTAAATACAAACTCTACTTCAGCCCATAGAGCTGATGGCCTCACTTCACCTGGGTCTAACTTTGTTGACATCTTTTGCCGATTTTAATCCAATTACAAGACCGGACACCTGCCGGGCAATACTTATTTTCTTTTCTCAAAACAAAAACCTCAAGTTAATCCTTCTCATACCTCTCAAGAGTATTTCGTTTTTTTCCTTCCTTCATCATTCCCGTCGTCAGAAATAATGAACACCCACCTGTAACTTCAACTTCAACTTCTTAACCTCTGTATAAGAAATCTTTACTGAGAATATAATCACTAGCTCATAAGGTTTACTGTTTATACAATCATTACTATAGACCATAGCCTTTGTTTCAGAACTGTCTTTCTGTTTAAAGTTTGTTTCCTGCTGAAGAAACCATTAATGGTTCAAATGTCCAATGCCTCAAACGCCTCCATTGGACTCCTTTGTTCACTTCTTTCACATAATGACACCACTATGTACCACTTGCGCTTCTATTAGCATTCATTGTCCAAATGTTCCAATGCAACATGGTCAAATGAATGTTTACTTTTGGTGAAAAAGAGTATAAAAGCTATACGAATATCTCCTCAGATACATATTGTTGGCTGACATGACATAAGTTGTACAACAATATAATCTTTCATTTTAATAGCCAGTATTTCTGTTTTACTATTCTGATGTCCTCAGTGTTTAGATAACAGATAGGACACCCTTTCAAAAGTAAACAAGTATATCAGAAGAGATGAGGAAGTAGAAGCAAACAGTAATCATTGATGGTCAAAATGCCCAATTCCACACTGTCAAATAAGTATTTTATTTTTGCTAGAAGCTGTAAGACTCTTGGCTCAATTAACACAAGTTTCTGATATTGTACAACAATTGCATTTTTAACTTCAATAGCCAGTGTTTATGTCTTTCTATTTTGTGATATTTTAATGTCCTGAGTGTTTAGTCAACAGATCCACGACACCTCATTAACAGTAAACTAAGATTGTAATTTAGTAAACAGTAAGCTTTTGAGGCATTTAAAGTCAAAATGTCCAATGCTACATCGTCAAATAAATGTTACATTTGCGAGTATACAAAAATCTTAACTTCTTTGTTTCTATTCCAAAGTCCTGTGTATTTAGGTAATGGATCCACCGTACCTCATTACAAGTGAATGCACAGAGAGGAGGAATTACAAGCACCAAAGTAATAAGCAATGAATATCCGATGCGACAAATAAATAATAACTTTTGGTAAAAGAGAGTACAAAAGCCTGAATATTCTCCCAGTCTTCAGACCCACACTTTAGGCACAGAAGTCTCTTAACTGTTGTTCAACAATATAATCCTCATCAGGTCCAGGACACCTCATTCAAAGAAAGACGTTTGAAGTAGACCTCAGCTCACCTCTGTCGTCCTCAGCGTCCCATGAAGCGTCTGTAGGGTCCAGGACAACCTGATCTGCTGTAGCAAACACAACCGGCGTCCATGCTGCGTCTCCCTCCTGCTTTTTACTCTGAGGTGACCTCTGCCCACTCACGCTGCTGACTCCTGTCTCCCTATCTCCCCCCTTCCTCTTTTAACACACCCTCCCTCTCTTTCTGTCTTTGTTTCAGAGTGTGTGAAGGGAGGGTGTGTTGATCAAAGGATGTGATCCGCAGCGGTGAATTCATGTCATTCTGATCTTTTTTTTTTACATACTAACCACATTAGCCCTACTTTGATCCACATTGGGTGCAGGACAGCAGATCAAATCAGATTTCATTGTGTCGGATCAAAGAGCTCTCCCACACACACACATTAAACTGATATGTGTACGTGTGATATTGCCACAGAGGGAGGAGAGGGATGTTGTGACAGATTGTTTGTGGAGAGAAATGAGAGGCCAGAAGCGAGAGCTGTTTCTTTCTCACCCCTGTTTCTTTCTCACCTCCTCCCTGTCTCTCGCACTGTCTCCTGCATTCCTCTCCTCTTTCTGCTGTGGTCTGTTTGCCTCCCCTCTGTTGCTCCCTCTCCGGGGGCAAGCCTCTAATTATCGAGGGGCCCGCTGAGCGACATTAAACACACACACACATGAACACACACTCACACACAAGCTGGTCATGTTTTGACACTATTATGAAACTGATTTCCAATTGCGTTGTTACGTTTCAACATTTGTTGTGGGGACAAATTAAGACTCCTTAATCAAATGAAAAATCGAATAAATACAGTACATCTGTTGGGACGTGACAACATGAAATAAAACATGCCTTCCCCTGGAGACTTTTATTTTTATGTAATTATGCTTTGACTCACAAAGCTGACTGAAAGTGCTTTTGACAATTTTTCTGCTCATGTTCAAAACATTTCCTGCAAATTTGTGTTTGTAATATGATAAGAGAAAGTCAAATGATGAGAGTATAATTGTGACGTAATGAGAACAAAGTCATAACATTGGAGATCTGTTCACCGTTTGTGATTAAGTGCATGGACTGGACGTTGACACACACCAGTTGTTATATTTGTATCTTTGATCAATATTATTGCAAGAGACATCTAAGTGGATGACATGTCCCAATGAGTTCATTAGTTGAAGCTGATACAAACTCCAGCACAGATTTATTTCCTGTGAGATGGCAGTGAAAGTATAATGAAAAGGATTCAATGGTACAATTAACGGTAATTACATTTTTGTTTGTGGAATATAAGTGATTACTGCAAAAAAGCTCAGGCATTCCTTCCCTTAGAGCATTTTTTATTCTTTTAAGATTTATCTTTTGGCTTTAAATGAAGCGCAATCTTGCTTTTTCAGCTCTTAAATTATTATACTTTTATATTAACGTAAAAAAGTATAATGCTAATGCAGTAGAGTACAAGATTAAAGCAGCATAAAATGGAAATACTCAAGTAAAACACATCAGAATGAATTATTACTTAAAGGTAGGCTAGGTAAGTTTGAGAAACCGGCTCGAGATCGCTAGAATTTGAAAATACACAACCGGAGAAAATCTGCCACTTCCTTACAGAGCCCCTCCTCCATCACACACGAACGTGCACATGACCAATGAGGGCACGAGATAAGTTTGTGCACAGATGGAAGGCTGACAGGCAGGTAGGCCATCCAGTTATTTTAGCCGGACCGGCTCAGATGATTGGTCGTACTTTTTACAGTATTACGGCTTCCACAGATGACATTTTTTTATGGATTTTTTGTCAAAGCACTTAAGATATTCATTGCTATCGGGATGTTAAGAGCATTCCATGGAATATAACAAAAAGTGTATCTCGAGCCGGTTTCTCAAACTTACCTACCCTACCTTTAAGTCCAGTATAATTGAGTTATTGCTTATTGTTTATTTTGATTCTCAATCCTTAAACTCTTTGAGCGGCAACTTTATATGAAAGGTACAGCACAAATAAAGTCATTATTATTACTGCTAAAAACCCTCATAGTCTGAATGCTCCTGAAACTCAGTCATAACAAACTGAACTCTCTCCCCCCCCTCCCACCTCTCCCCTCTCCCCTCTCTCCCCTCTATCTCACCTCTCCACCCTGCCCCCACTGGACCGGGACTTTAACACCCCCCCCGACACACACACATTTTTGCACTCCCATTTGCACTACATCATCTTTTTTTATATATATCCTGCTTACTTGAAGTAAACGGTTATTTTGTGTTTTTTTTTTTATTATTGAATGTTCTTGTATTTTAATGTGTGTTTTTTTATACCTCGGGACTGTGGGAAACAGTATTTCGATCTTTCAGTGAGTACAAACATATTTTGAGATTGACAATAAAGTTGACTTTGACTTTAACTTTGACAACAGACTGCATGTGGAGATACGAGAGACGAGGGCGCCCCCCTGTGGTCTGCACCAGCACTGCTGCATGCACTCACGTGTTGGAATCAGCACAGATCATTCTAAAAACGAAATAATGAACTCCAAAGAAACAGGCTTAATATGTATTTCCCATTTATTAAAACCCAGCACATTCAGTAGTAGGACAGCTGAGTCTCAGTAGACAAGCAGCAGCTGAGTTTGGGTTAAAATAAGTTATAAAGATTACCCTGTTCTTAATAATAAATAAAGTAACCAAACTAATAAATATGGACAAGATTGTAAAAGGAGTTGTTTTGTGTTTCATACAGTATTATGGTATGGTGGTTGTTTCAGGTAAACAGGAAACATTTCTACAGAAAGATGAACTATTGCATAGATCTTTGTGACAGTTTCATTTCAGTATAACTATCAAAACAACTATAATATTATGAAATTGCATAGAGGACCTTCTGAGGAGAGTCTTACATTCACTTCTCTGCGTGTTTGTTCTAGATGCTGAGGGTCCGGGGCCCGGTGCTCTGAACGGCGCTCATGATGGAGTGCACCACCTCGGAGGTGGAGCCGTGGCCCCCCAGGTCCGCCGTGTGCAGCTGCAGGACAACACAAGTGTGAGCAGAATAATCTCTATGCAATGTTCAATCTCAATCTCAATCTTTACTTATTTATATAGCACATTTAAAACAACCTCAGTTGACCAAAGTGCTGTACAGGGAATAAATACAATATACAAATAACACAATGGGAGTAAAATAATAAAACAATAATTAAAAACATGATAAAAAGCACAATAACTAGAAACAAAAAAACACATACAAATGTAAAAATGTTATGTTCAACTAGTATTACAAGCCAGTGCAAAGAGGTGAGTTTTCAGCTGAGATTTAAAATGTCAATAGACTGAGCAGTGGATCTGCTTGACTAGCAGACATCTCTCAGTGGATGTCTGCTCACCACCTCAAGCTCAACCTTGACAAGACTGAACTGCTTTTTCTTCCGGGAAAAGATTGTCCCACTCTTGACCTAACAATCAACATCGGCCCCTCTGTTGTTTCCCCGACTCAGACTGCAAGGAATCTGGGTGTGACCCTAGATAACAAACTGTCCTTCACTGCAAACATCGCTGCTACAACCCGCTGCTGCAGAAACACTCTTTACAACATCAGGAGGATACGTCCCCTCCTGACCCAGAAAGCGACGCAACTTCTGGCCCAGGCTCTCGTTATCTCACGCCTAGACTACTGCAACTCCCTCCTGGCTGGTCTACCTGCATGTGCCATCCGACCTCTGCAGCTCATCCAGAATGCAGCGGCTCGTCTGGTCTTCAACCTTCCTACATTTTCCCACACCACACCTCCGCTCACTTCACTGGCTTCCAGTAACTGATAGAATCCACTTCAAGACAGTGGTACTTGCGTACCATGCTGTGAATGGATCTGGCCCTTCCTACATCCAGGACATGGTTAAACCATACACCCCAGCACGTGCACTCTGCTCTGCATCGGCCAAACGGCTCGCTGCACCCGCACTGCGAGGGGGACCCAAGTTCCCATCAGCAAAAACACGTGGGTTTGCTATCCTGGCTCCAAAATGGTGGAATGAGCTCCCCATTGACATCAGGACAGCAGAAAGCTTACACATCTTCCGGCGCAGACTGAAAACTCATCTCTTTCGACTCCACTTCCAGCAATAAAATGAAAAACAAAAAATAAATAAAAAGCACTTATATACTAATAAAGGACTGGCTTATCTAAAGCCAGTTGAGTAGCACTTGAAATGTTTTGGTTCTATGAAACCTGATGTACTTATATGATTCTGTTTTCTTCAAGTTTGTATCTTCTTGGTCGAATGCACTTATTGTAAGTCGCTTTGGATAAAAGCGTCAGCTAAATGAAATGTAATGTGATGTAATATGCACTGGGAGGCTGTTCCACATCTGGGAGCTGCAACAGCAAAGCCCTGTCACCTCTGGTTTCTTTCGTGCACAGAGGAACCACCAACAGGTTCTGCTGAGCTGACACATCGCTCTAGCTGGAGCAGGCCGGTGCAACGACTCAGACAGGTAGTGTGGTGCCAGTCCATGCAAGGATTTAAAAACAATGAGTATGAATGTTCGGTTTGGTAACTGCCCTCAGTGAGAGGATGGAGCGTGTTGTTTGTTTGTTGTTTGTTTGTTGTGTTGCTGTGATCGTACCCGGGTCTCGGTGAGGGTGCAGAGGATGGCCCTGCGCAGCATGCTGGCGTAGGCGTGCAGCTTCAGGTGGTCCAGCAGCAGGCAGGAGGCCAGCAGCATGGCCGTGGGGTTCGCCGTGTTGCTGTTAGCGATGCTCTTCCCCGTGTTCCTGGTGCCCTGCACAGAGAGGGGCATGTTGGGTAGAGAGGTGCATGTTGGGTAGAGAGGTGCATGTTGGGTAGAGAGGTGCATGTTGGGTAGAGAGGAGCGTGTTGCACAGAGAGGTGCATGTTGGGTAGAGAGGTTAGCTTTGCAGGGGATCCCTCGACCAAAAGCCAGGGCTTTTTTCCACTGGACTTCAACATTGTTTTTATTTGTCAGACCGTTTATAGATTTTCTTTTTCATCGTCTTGGTCATCTGTATATTTTTCTTACTCTCTAATGATGGTTTATTTCTATTTCTATTTTAATTTGTTATTATGTGCAATGCCTTGTTTTGTTTGATGCTGCTGCAACAAACATATTGTCTTTCCAAAATGGGATGAATAAAGTACATCTTATCTTATCTTAATATTGCACCAAATCATATCTCTGTCAAACACATGTTTATGCTAACGTATAACGTATGAGTTCATGTGAACTACATCACAGTCGCATGGCTCCACGTCACCAACGCTAAGCTAAAGGCAGTACAGAGGTCATCCACCAATCAGAAGGGCAATGGTTCGATCCCCAGCCCCTGCAGTCAACATGTGGCAGTGTCCTTGGGCAAGATACTTAACCCTGTACGGCTCCTGGTGGCAGGGCCTACGACGCTTGTTCGTACGTAAATAACCAATCGGAGCTGAGGAGTTTCTATTTGCAGTGTCAACTATTGCTCTTCAAATTCGATCAAACTGTCAAACTAGGATGTGAATCCTCTCACCGTCTCGAACACGGCGTAGTCCGTCCCGTAGTTTGCTCCGGGCACCAGGCCCGGCCCCCCCACCAGCCCGGCACACACGTTGCTCACCACGTTCCCGTACAGGTTGGGCATCACCATCACATCGAACTGCTGGGGCCTGGAGACCAGCTGACACACACAAATACAGCATAGTGTCAGGACATTCACCAACCAGTATTAAAAAGACATTTGACAAAGATTGTGATTTGCCGGTTCTCCGTTCTCTTCAGACCTTTGTTTGATTGAGATCTCTCAACCTTACTTTGTAATTGGGAGCCCGGAGTTTACCGCTCAGCTGATTTAAATGCTTACAAGATAAAGCTTAAAGGTAGGGTAGGTAAGTTTGAGAAACCGGCTCGAGATCGCTAGAATTTGAAAATACACAACCGGAGAAAATCTGCCACTTCCTTACAGAGCCCCTCCTCCAACACACACGAACGCGCACATGACCAATGAGGGCACGAGATAAGTTTGTGCACAGATGGAAGGCTGACAGGCAGGTAGGCCATCCAGTTATTTTAGCCGGGCCGGCTCAGATGATTGGTCGTGCTTTTTACAGTACTACGGCTTCCACAGATGACTTTTTTTTATGGATTTTTTGTCAAAGCACTTCAGATATTCATTGCTATCGGGATGTTAAGAGCATTCCATGGAATATAACAAAAAGTGTATCTCGAGCCGGTTTCTCAAACTTACCTACCCCAACTTTAATTGGCACACGATTGGACAAAAGGCAGTGCATTTGTCCTCACATGACAAACAATGATGATTTCCACACACTCTGTTAGGACAGCTGTCTGAGGAGCTGTGGTGTCAAGGTCCTGCGGATGTAGGCAAAATAAAGGGAGTTGAGCCTGTAAAGATAACACCAAAAGGGAGTTTCAGACCTTTCCAGACAGTATCCAATTAAACCTGAAGCTATAACCGGAATAGAGCCCATCGTTGAAGCATTATTCAAATCAGGCATGATAAGAGAATGTCCAGATTCACCAACACTCCTTTGTTCCCCGTCAGAAAGGCCCCACCATCAGCCGGATGGAGGTTGGTGCAGGATTAGCACTTTCCTTTGGAAAAGGATAATCTGACCCTTTTAGTTTTCACCGAAACTATTCCTCTTTTTTATTTTAAATGTACATAGTTAAGTTGACCTTGTCTTTCTAGGACTTTTTTGGTGTCTGTCAGAGAATCATTTGCCCTGCATGTCCTCCTTCGCCCTCTGATGCAGATGACCAACCTTGACAGCATGCTATCTCCCTAAAGGAGGGGCTGCCCTAGCATATTGTTGATGTTACCAGTTTATGACCGGGCAACTGTCGGTCAGAGATAGTTATTGTTGTGGGACACCTGGAACACATCCTTCTCGGGGTGTAGATGACCTCGAGACATAAGCGACAACACATGTGATTCAGTGTCCTCAGCTGTTTAGTCTATCTATTGAAGAATGTTGATTATTACACTCTGAACTAGTTCCAACCTGGAGCTACAGGAGGGGTCTTCAGAATTGATTGTGGCATCTCAACCGTGTGGTCAGACCGTGGCCCTTTGACATGTCTTGTGAATTCTCCGGCCGAAGCTCCAAATAAACCGTCAGTGAGCACCTACTCTTGTCTCCCACCCTTAGAGGATCAAAGAGCAACATCATCCTAAATGGGAATACCTGCATGTACGGGAACCTGCCGACACCAAACCGATGTACGACTGTGTGCGACTGCACTTAGAAACGATATAAGCTTGATGTGATTTCCTGTTCCTTTGAGCAGCATACCTCATGTGTGTGAGTTGAACCATATTCCTGAATGTGATTAAGCTCCTTCTTGCAAGAATAAATGAGTTCCTGATTATTGATTCTCAAACCGGTGTCGAGTGATATTTTTCTAACACTTTGCAATTGTTGCGTTTGCACACAGCCCTGCAGTCTCTTGGCCTTTTATGTGCATTTGTGTGGTTTACCTATTTACATAATATACTAATTAGGATTTATTTGCATGTGCTTTCAATTCAAAAGGACAGTGGGATTCATCATTATAATAACATATGTGCAAGGAAGTTTGTAGTTTAAGAACATACCATGAATGTCACTTTTAAAAACCAACAGAAAGCGGTAAATGACGCTTATTGTATCATCAACTGTGGCAGTGTGAAGAAATGGCGTGCTTACCTGCATGGTGGTGTTGTCCACAATCATGCTGTCGAAGGTGATTTCAGGGTAACCACTAGCGACCTCCTTGCAGCACTCCAGGAAGAGGCCGTCAGCTAACTTCCTGCTCCAAACACACACACACATTAAGATGTATCATGTGTTTTTATAGAAAACGGTGAATGAAAACTGGTCTTTGAGACTCAACTGACATGATGTTCGCTTTGTGTACAGCAGTCACTCGTCTGCGTCCTTGAGCGCGGGCAGTTTTAAAGGCGTAGTCAGCGATGCGTAGAGATTTGGTCCTGGTGATGATCTTCAGACACTCAACAACTCCCGGTACATTCTGCAAAAGCAAAGAGAGAAACATTTGAGATGCATGTAGAACAGATTTAGTTGGGATGTTGTGCGTTGCAGCATCAGAGCGATTATGAACACACACACACACACCTCGTGCTCCAGGCTGCTGTACTCTCCCTCTGTGTTCTCCCTGATGATGATGATGTCGATGTTGGTCTGGCGTGACCTCACTCCTGGTAGAGACTGGCAGTGCATCACATTGGCATACAGATCCAGAGTGGTGCTGCAGAGACAAGATGGTAAATAATGGATGAAGAGGCAGATAGAAGGAATAGACACAAGAGCCAAAGATTTAAGACTGGTTATTTTAAAGGTCACCTATTATGCAAAATCCACTTTTTCATGTCTTCTATACATCAACATGTGTCCCCTCTGTGGAAAGAGATTCTGAAAGTTTCAGGAACAAAGATTCTCTCTCTTTTTGTCCTGATCCATTTATATAAAAACCTGTCTGAAAATGAGCTGATCAGATTTTGGCCACTTTATGATGTCATAACGATTGTTTGGCTTGTGTAACCATTAGCCAATCACCAACCAAGGTAACCCCCCCCCCCCCCACCTCATCACCTGAATGTCCTCCTAGAGCACCATTGTGTTCTTTTTAACCAAATATCTCTCAGAGGGGCGTGGGGAGGGGCTCCTTATTTTCATCTAAAGTAACAGACGCTGGGTGTTTCTCAATCGCGAGTACGCTTGCTTGGTAGCACATGTCTGCCGAGCATCTTGCTTCAGAAGCGAGTCAAGAATACTTCCTGACATTTGGAAAACAAAGAGTGGAACAGGCTAGCAAGTGTGCAGGTGTGCGTCATATGAGAGGCCCCGCCTTACATCTTCCGCCACAGATTTGGGGAAATTGGTCCGTGCGCAAAGCATTGTGGGGATTTTAAGACCGCGGAGTCTACTCATGTGCAGACTCGATATTTCTCCAAACGGAGTACGCCGGGCTCGGTAGATTTCCAAGTATGCTGGAGATTGGAACAGTACTTCGGCGGCACTCGATGACGTAGTATGCTTGAAATAGTGGCTCTGAAGCAGCTTTACTCGCGATTGAGAAACACCCAGAGAATCAGCACTTTTGAAACAGGGCTGAAACAGAGGGGATTATGGGATGCTGCAATGATCTGTTTGGTGTTTGGAGCCAAACACTTCAGAGACATGTTTTGTATATATCTGAGACCTATAATATATTGATGAAAAACAGTACAATAGGGGACCTTTAAATTGGAATTTGCCAAATGTTACGCGGGTGTTTAATCAGTGTTGATGGTCAATGCATTTGATTGAAGCAATACATGCATTAGTGCAAACTATATTGAAAGAGAAAGATGAGTTTGAAGCTGTAAATCTGATTAGACTATGAAAGGAAAAGGGGTGAAAGATGAAATATGGAGGACTTACCGCAGCAGGTTGTTTCTGGACTTGTAGGATGGCGGCAGGTTGTGGTTGGTCTCAATGTTTCCTGGATGAACAAACAAAGTAACAACCTGAAGAATGACAACTAAAGAAGAGACATAACACATCTTGATATAGCAGAATGTCTACAGTCATGTTTGGAGTTACACTCGTTGCTTTCTTTGTATCAACATGTTTCATGGACATGCAAAACACACGTACCTTTCAGAGCCACTCCATTGCGTCTGATAGCCATGATGGCATTATTGATGTCATCTTCTGAGTCCTTCGTTGAGTCCACATTGACAACCTCAAAGTCCACGGGCACACAGCAGAACCTGAACATAAAGTAAAGTAAAAATAAATCTCATGTAGAATCCAAAATGGACGAATAACGATGATTTTTCCATTAAAATTGTTACAAGATATAATATTTTCTATTGAAAGGTAAGCTCCATATGCTTGATTTGTTTGTCTCCCTTTGTGTTTTCCGTCTGTTTTTATGTGTTTTTATTAATTCTGCGTCGAGGTCAAGTCTCCCCTGAAAAAAAGAGATTCCTAATCTCTCTCACCGGAACAGTTCACACACGTGTTTGCTGAGCTCTGGTCCGATGCCGTCTCCTGGAATCAGAGTCACGGTGTGCCGGCCTCCATACCGCGCCGGTGGAGGCTGTTACACACAAACAGGAAGTCAAACTCCCCCCAATACAACCCAGTAGATACAACTCCTATAAAACTACTGATTGGACTCGACACTATTTTAAAAGACGGTAATCTTTTTGCTATTTTAAAACGTTCTATTAACACAACATGTGTCTCTGAAGTAAGCCGCCATACTCACTATGGCCTGGTGAGGGTGGATGGAGGATGGAGCAGAGAAAACAGGAAGGTTAGTGGGACAAAGTGGAGGGGGGGAGGGGCTGAAGCACGCTGATCAGCAGCTTCCTGGTGACATCACAAGCACATTGATGAGACAAAACAGTGTTGGTACTCCTGTGCACATGCATTGTTCCTCTTACAGTTGGTGCTTTTATCAATGTAGATTGTTCAGGAGTGAGTTGTGGAGAGTTGGAGATGCAGGCGGAGAGATGTCTGCTTTCTTTAGAATATTATGGAACTAGATGGCATCTACTTCTACTAACTTAACCCTTGTATGGTGTTCGGGTCTGTGGGACCCGTTTTCATTATTTAGCTAAAGAAAAATGATATGATCAATTATTTTTTCAAACTCACACTCAATGGCCTTGGCTCATTTTCTGTGAAGAACATCTATCAGAACACATTTTCAATGACCACCCACTGTACCCCCCCCTACACATTTACATTACATACAGAATGTTCGGGGAAATTGTAGGTAATGTGCACCTGTCTGGGCCTTCTTAGTGTGTGTGTGTGTGTGTGTGTGTGTGTGTGTGTGTGTGTGTGTGTGTGTGTGTGTGTGTGTGTGTGTGTGTGTGTGTGTGTGTGTGTGTGTGTGTGTGTGTGTGTGTGTGTGTGTGTGTGGACCAGGACCAGCCGGTCAGCGGGCGAAAAAACAAGGAGCACTTTAATTCATTAATGTGGTCTAACAAATGTAAAAGGGCAAATATGAACCATGCTGTTTATATTGCTTGTAAACAAGTCTGTTGAGTATTTTAACATAAAATAGTTTGATTGTGTTGAATTGAAGCCCAAAAAGGCAGTGGGTCCACCTGACCCACGAACACTGGCTGAGTAACACAAATATGAACACCACACAAGGGTTAACAGCAGTGTGTCTTTCAAAAATCATTATCTGGTTATTCAATATAATCCACATAACTTGTTGCGAGGAGTTTCATAAAGGGTCTATTTTCTTTCTACTAAACTACACCCATCAACCGCGTCACATCTGGTCCATGAGTAGCCGTGTGTGTTTGGCAACTCACATGAGAACAATCAAGATTAATAAATAGCATTACAGTTAAGAGGGAAATGTATTTTGATTGTGGGGTTATCCAGTTGGGAAGGTCACAAGGTAAACAAGGTATGCGTGACAGATTTGTTAATGTTTTCTTGTATCCTGAACAACTCACAGTGTAAGAGGACTTGTTTCTCTGAGTACATGTTGCTGCACCATAAACCTGTGAATACAGACAGAAGTTAGTTAGAGGCAGAAAATATGTATTAGTTAAAACGTATACAAAAAACCAAGTCTAATCTATAACACTGTCCTCAATTGTTGTGTGTGTGTTTATTTCCTCATATAATGGCAGGAGAAAACATTTTTAAGCTGAAGTATTTTTGATATTTCCATGTTTCTCATATATTTGATTTCAATTATTTGTTAGTGTTATTTTATGCTAGTTTGCACGTCTACTCCACTACATTTGGTTGCGTTGCATATACCAATTATTAAAGGTCCCATGTCATGCTTTTTTGGCTATTACCCGTCCCCTTGTGTGTTATGAAGGTTTGTATGCATGTAAACGGTCTGCAGAGTCACAAACCCTCAAAGTACACCCTGTAGTGAGTAAAACTCTAACACAGAAAAGACCTGTCTATGCTGCCCCGGAACGCCTCGTTGGAGATTTCTCTTTTTCCATTGTTTACTTATTGGGTATAGTGACGTATTTCAGGTATAGTGACGTAGCGTAACGTCCGCGGAGCTGTTACGTTTGGACCAATCCGCGGACTTCCTCACACACACACACACTCGGCGGGACGTTGCGAGGCTCGCTGCTGGCTCACTGGTGTGGGGTCGGCGAGACAGCGAGACACCGCGGAACTCAGCCTGGGCACACACACACACTCCCAGCCAGGCTGTGTGTGTGTGTGTGTTTCGGGCTGGGTTTCGCTGTGTCTCGCTGCCACTGGGCACACAGGGAGGGGGGGGGCAGGAGCTCCAACAAGCCGTTTAGGACAGAGAGTGAATACACATACTATACAGAGATGCTGTATGAGAAACCAATGTGAGTTTGGAAAATTGCACAATATACATTTATTTTAGAATACCTCAACAATGGAATTATGATTAGTATGGCCATGACATGGGACCTTTAATAGAAAATAGAAAATAAACCCAAAAAACTGATATTTATTATAATGAATTGAGTTGCAAGCTTAGCCTACAGCATAAGAAACGAACACATTAATGCATCAATAATCCAGTGATATATTATAACAAATATTGCATACTGAGTACTTTTACTTTTGGTTCGTTGCTGATAATACTTGTGTACTTTTAGCTTTTGAATGCATGCCTTTTATGTGTAGCAGAGTATTTCTACACTGTGGTTTAGCTACTTTTAATTAACTAAAAGCTCTGAATACTGTCTCCAGGGTTAGGGTTAATACCTGTTGTATTACTGCCTGAATAATTTATGAGTGCAGGGAGCAGATGGAGTATGCATTTACAGCCTCATCTCGCTAAGTGAGAAAAGGAGGAATGCTGCATAAGTAGAATTACATTTTCTTTGAAGGGATCACCAGTGGTGCTGAAGGACAGCGACATTAACAGTTGGTTAGCCTAGTTAGCTAACTAGGCTAACCAACTGTTAATCAGCTTAGCTTCACACATCGTTGTTTTACCAAAACAAATAGTGTTAAACCACGTCAAATGTTTTAAATTGTATTTAAACAGATGACTATGTTGTCAGAGACTGATCCTACCCTGGTTAACTGGTTGTTGAAGAGGAGCTTCAGGGCTCCGGAGAAGGACTGCACTGACCGGGCTGTCATGGTTCTCTCTCCACGGGGAAGGATGGACGACACTGGGGCAGCGGGGGCGTGCTGCGCGCTCCGAGGTAATCTCTCTTCATCTTCATCTCTCTCTCTCTCTCTCTCTCAAGAGAAGAGAGAGAGGGAGAGCGAGAGAGAGAGAGAGAGAGAGAGAGAGAGAGAGAGATCTCTCTCTCTCTCTCTCTCTCTCTCTCTCTCTCTCTCTATATCGCTCTCTCTCTCTCTCTCTCTCTCTCTCTCTCTCTCTCTCTCTCTCTCTCTCTCTCTCTCTCTCTCTCTCTCTCTTTAATTCAAATTTGCTTTCTTGGCATGGTGAATCAAAACAACTGTTTTGCCAAAACATGTGGTAAAAATAGTGGCAATATTGTAATATAGGCATATGGTAATGGTAATAGTGGTAATAGAATAATTACTATATCATTGAGTTAATAAACATTCAGTTCTCGGTTCTGTTAGCAGAGCACACAAAAACAACAACAAAAACCTCATAACAGTGCAAAAATAAAGGACTAAAAATATGCTTTTTTGCAGTGATGAAGAAGGTAGAGTGCTACTGTCATACGTGTGAGCAGACAATGTATGCTTGCATAGGTGCAAGTTAACAATAACCTTTTTTGCATTTTTGCAAAGCATAGGAACAAATGGAAATTTGAATCTACTGTAGTTTTCCCTCTGAGGGAGGATGATCTAACAATGTTTGACAGGCTGTGTTTTTATATTCAGGTTGCATAGCAGGATGAACATACTTCTCATATCCCTCAAAATGTACATATTCATGAGATGCATTCTTCACATTAGATTATACATTATGTCTTTTTCTACATATTTCCTCATATATTGGCAGGAGAAGACATCCAATATCCTGGTGGCAGTGTGTACAACCACTTCTTGGTCTCCCCAATTTCACTAATCCACAAAGAAAGAGACTCTTATTCGAAACATTTTTTTATTGTAGGATGCAGAGACAAAGATCTGAGCACAATGAAGTCCTTCAAGCTAGCTCCGTGTTACCATGGTAACGCTAACATACAGCCTCAACGGTGGCCTAGATAGATAGCTTGATCCCCATGGCACTTTTCCCTCCAAGAATTCCCTTTCAGGAATTTATTACACAAAATATATACATTTGAGGGTGGATCTTTGCATGCTTTGTTATTCAGAAGCTGACACATTTGACCCTTAAAAAAAAGTCCTTACACTGATTGTAAGAAAGCCCGGAGAGGCAGGTGAAAAGAATATCGCGATACATTTTTCTAAGTCTGATCTAAAGTTTGTTTCCCCTGTGTTTAAGATCAGGTAAAAAAAATATATATATATTTTCAACTGTCAAACAAGTTGGGGGAAATATTTGAAAAATGTTTCTTCAAGTGAGTTTTAATTCTCCCATGCACTGCAGTTTGAATTGTTCCATGTAGTAATATATATATGGTGTTTGGATTAAAATAAACATTCGTATATAAAGTCCTTAAAATAATGTTTTGTTCTGATATACACAATTGTCTCTATCATAGTGGTCTAATACCATGTTTTTCATTATTGTAGTCTAACAACATTCTGTCATTTACTTTATTTAATTTTATGAATAGCTTGCATGGAGGCAAACATTTCAGAAACTACATTTTTTGATTATTTGGGGTAAATATCATATTCAAACTTGAAAGTGGAAAGACCTTTGTCCTTCTTTTGCCTATCATGTCATATAATGTTTAATTTAGCCAACTAGACATTTAAAGTTGCTGAAATACTTATAATCTTATAATAAATAATCAAAACATTTAATTACTTGATGGTTTCTATTTTCGTAATGTTGTTTTATGTTTCCTAATAGATTTTCAGAATAATTGTACCATTATTGTTTATGATAGATTGTGTTGCATATAGATCCTTTGTGTTAAATGTATTAAAATGATGACTATCTTTTGTCTTCCCTGTCTTGTTTTGTAAAAATTCCTGGTGTTAAATTGATTAATATTAAATCTAAATTCCTGTGAGAGTACCAATGTGAACCACAGGAGGGCGACATACACACACAAGATCCACCATGAACCGGACATCACCATTCTACCTGTTACACCCACCGCTCACTCATTTTCTAATCTACTAACGTTCATTAACGGTTGATTCGTGTTTACTTTTTTTAATTCACCGGTTTACACCGCTTATATGTTCACTACTGAAGCATTAAATACTTCATTAGCATCCACGTTGGTCTACAGTGGCAGACGTTAGCTAGCATTACCGGTATTATAAATATCTGCGTTTTGACATGAAAGAGGTGATATTATCAGAGGCTGGTGGTTAACTAACAAATAACGGCGTCTGTACTTGAATTACTTGTGGGCCACTTGGAGAAATTCTCCTCTCTCTCCAGCATTTTTATCCTCGTCCAAACTGTCGGTATCCTCATGCTGGTAGTTGTAGTTTTAATCGGTTTCCCACCAAATCTGTCCCAGTACGACGTGATACGCTAATAAGACTACATTTCCCAGCATCCCTCCTCCGGCCGCGCCTCCTTCCTCCACTTCCCTCCGCCTTCCCTCCCACTCCACTGGGCCGCGAGGAAGTCGCAAGATGGCTGATGTCGCTTGGAAGTAATGTTCCCCTCTGCAACATGAAGCCGTGAGTGTGGAAGACAGCGAGGGAGGCACCATCGGGCTTTTATTTTAATTTAATTTTAGTTACTTTTGTTTTATTTCGTTAAACATCCATCTCATTCCGCGTCGTGTCGGCCCCGGACTTGTCTTCGGGAGTTGACGCGTCAAATCACGCCGGGGACCCTGCCAGCAGCTAACGGCTAACGATCACTTAGCAACTGTTAGTGCAGCTAGCCAGGCACACCGCTTGTTAGTTTGTTTTAATTCATATTCTGACACCTGCAAACCAACAAGCTACCGATACAAGCGCGGTGATATTTGCCGGAGGTAGTGCAGATTAAATGTCAAATATTTCAGCTGTCAGGTAAAAAAAAAAACGATTTAGCAAGCTGCTCGGTTTAACATCATGTCCGCGAACTGGCCATCCAGCCTGTGGGTTGCTAACTAATGCGCAGTATTGCATCTGTTTCATGTGCACAAACTAGCAGGGTAATTGTTTTATTTGCAATTTTTTAACACCATCAACCACCTTGCTGCATTTCCGTTACTTGCTGCCAACTACATTTTTGAAGCTGGTTATGTTAAAGCCAAATTATGGGAGCAGGAAATGTGTTGAACTTTTTCTGGTGGTAGGTAGCTACACTGGCCTTGCTGGCATCTCACCAAAAATCCACAGGGATGGACACTAAACTGAGCACCCACGACCAAAACTGAGAAATTCGCAGTTCGATATCTCGGAATCAGTAACGATAGCTGACACACGTGTACATCAGTGCATGGTGACTGATTTCACTAATCTGGGTGACAGATAAGTTGTTTTGCAGGGTTAACTAAACTACAGTTTTTCACTGAATCAGAGACCAGTTAGCTTGCCTAAAGTGCACAGCTAGCTCCGGTCTCGCCCCACATTACATTACAAACACGGCGTACAGAACGTATTCAGAGCCCTCTCCCGGCCAGACACACAGGCTGAACAACACCGTCATGGGAGTGCAGGGTTTTCAAGAGTATTTAGAGAAGCGGTGTCCCGGGGCCGCAGTCCCGGTGGACCTCCTGAAGCTTGCCCGTACCGCGGCCCGCCAGCCCCCTCACCACCATCACCAACACCACCACCCACATCACCCCGGGCCCATGCCTCCCCCGCCCCCGCCTGCCAGGATCCTAATCGACGCTGACTCCGGCCTGCAGCGCCTCTACGGCGGCTACCAGACGGACTGGGTGTGCGGGGGAGAGTGGAACGCCATGCTGGGCTACCTGGCCGCCCTGTCGCAGGCCTGCCTGTACCAGGGGGGCCTGGAGCTGGTCGTGGTTTTCAACGGCACACTGGGGAAGGAGCGCTGGCCCGAGTGGGCGCGGCGAGCTCAGGGCCAGCGACAGACCGCGCAGCTGATAGTCAACCACGTCGGCAGCAAGGCCACCCCGCCTCCCAGAGCATGGTTCCTGCCCCCGGCCTGCCTCAGCCACTGCGTCCGCCTCGCCATGTTCCGCTTCCGAGTGCGGGTGAGCCATGTGTGATCAAAGCTGTGTTAAGTTGTTTTATTGTGGTCATGTGCTGTGCTGTTAATTTAACACTTACCCTTTCTTGTTGCACGCCCATTTAGCAGTTTACATCATCCAGCGCCGTGTTAACTCCTTCCAGTTGGGGAACAAGTGCACATACCAGCCCTAAGAACTTAAGCAAAACACACATAATCTATCAAACAGGCTGTTTTTGCATTGGCAGTTTTAAACCAGCAGAGTATATATATCTATATCAGTGATGCATTGCCTTATCTGCTCTCCTTTATTTGTGCTGGTCTACTGGGAGGAGAAATGTATCCGGTGCTAATGTGGAGCAGCATCTACCGGCAAAACCAGTCTGTGCATTAGAGCAACATGTATTGCGCAACATGACCTAGACCAGCCTATATATTGCATAACATGAACTCATTGAACCCTTTATACATTGTTGAACAACTGCTGAGTGGATAGACTATTAATAGGCCCCTGTTGCCTGACAGTGGCACATTTATAATGATTTGTTTTGCATTTCAGTTAATGGATGATTGAGAATATTTAAATAAATAAAAATGTGTGCATCTGACCTATTTTCAAGAATATTGGCTATGGTTAAAACTAAAGTAGCTGGGTGTACTATAATCATCTTAAAAAAATAAAAAAGTTCAAATGGGTTTGAGAAAGGAAATGTGACTCATAAGGTTAGGTTCTAGGCCTGCCATGAATGCATCAAAACCACTGATAGACTCTCATCGTTCACTCCTGTCAACATTACTATTTTATCTTTTGACATACCTTCCTATCTGCTTGCATGATAGTATTTATAAAAGCAACAGAGTACCGTGACATGATAGAGAACAGAAAAATCCCACCCACATTACAGTACAACACATTCTGCCGTTGTGTGTGTGTGTATAACATCATTACTCACTGTTCCCATGTGTACTTTCTGTTTTTCCGACCTGTATTCTGAGATACAGTCCTATTTCTGCAGCTTAAAATATATGTTCTCGGCTTGAATGGCACCTTTACTAAAGTTATTACTCTTCCTCTGTCACTTTCTCAGCTTTACATGTGCTGCATGCCAGCTAGTTTGTCATTTTCTAATTATTGTGATATTTTATTCTGGATGTTAACATTGGTATTTAGTTTCAGTTTGATTATGAATCAGTCTGACACAATACATGTTAGGCAATTTTGAATAGTTGTGAAACAGCTTATCATACTCAGCCATCACTGCCACATGTTGCATTCATTTGAAGACAGATTTGATTACCAGCTCATCAAACCGATTTTGTATGTATCTGAGTATAATTATTTAGTTTTCATTCTCATTAACGTTGACATAGTTAAACAAGATTAACATTATTAACAAGTCTGAAGCTCTCATGCTCGCTCTCTGGCGTAGTCGTGCACCTCACCCTCCAATGGGTTCTGCATGAGTGGGCTCTGAACACTTATGTTGCCCTAGGTCCAAGTGTCTGCATCACTACCAGTGATTTAGAACCGTTTGGTGCTGCACACATTTTCCATAGATGTATTTCCGCAAATGCTATGAAGCTTTAGTATTTTGAGAGTATACAAAGTGGCAGCACCACTGGTCGTCTGTGACCTCTATCCTGGTAAATTCAGTATGCAGTGATTGCTTTGGTAGCTGATCAGTCTCACAGATCCATCATTGTACAGAAGGTAGAACAATATGCAAACTTTGTTATATTTGTCTTTTGCGATAAACGTTATGTGCTCAGTTCTGCCTTTCATTTGCTTTTGGTATTGAATTAAAAAGTATATATTGTGCAGTTGTAAATGTAGGGCTGCACGTTATCGTAAATTTCATTATATATTATTTTCTCAATTATTTTATAGATTAATTGATAGTTTTTCTTTTATAAAAATGGCCACCACAATTTTCCAGATGGCACTGTCACAATTGCTTCGACAAGTGTACTCCTTGTAGAATAAAATAACAAGAACATGACTTAAATATTATACTCACTCAATGCATCCCAAATGCTATTTACCAAGCTATTCATCCCAAGTTTAATGTTAACATCTGAATCTGTTGGTGAAAGTTATTCCCATATTTAAACATTACATACATAACTATGCAGTTCTCCAACCATGCGTTTTGATTGCATCTTTAGCAACATACTTACACAATATACTAGAATTTAATATAATACAAAAACACTTAAAATCCAAACCAAATATAAAGAAACAAAATCTTCTGCAGAGCTGAAACTAAACTAAAACCTACAAACACTAAAAACAACAAGGTAATAAACAAAAAGACATGAAATTCAGAGTTTTGGTGTTTTGTAAATCCACAGGTTGTACAGACTTTGGAGGACCACCACCAGGAAGTGCTGTCTCTTTACAGAGACTTTGGATTTTCCGGCCTGATCGCTCAGGATTCTGAGTTTGCTCTCTGCAACGTACCCGCCTACTTCTCGTCGCACGGGCTCAAACTGAGCTGGAACGGCAAGAACCTAACCACACACCAGTACCTGCTGTCTGAGGCCGCCAGGCAGCTCGGGCTGAAGACACAGCACCTGCCCTGCTTTGCTGCTCTGCTGGGTAATTATCACCGCGATCCCACATACCTCAGTGGACACGCTTTGTGTTTCTGGCACGCCTTTTTCTCTGTTTGACTTTTCTATTGAAGCAGCAAACATTAAAGAGTTTCTGTCTCGCAGGAAATCATATTCTGCCTGATGAGGACCTGGCTGCCTTCCACTGGAGTCTGCTGGGACCAGAACACCCTCTCGCTTCTCTCAAGGTACCACATTAAGTCCTCTGCAAACCACAGCCTAATTTAAAAGTATACGAACTCTAATAATCACATTATAATATAATTAGTCAATTAGTGAAGTGAACCCTGATTTACCTTTTTAAATATAAACATAAGCACCAGAGCTTTTATATCAAATCTCCATATTGTAATAAAAGTATATTTTTTATATTAGAGAAAAGCCTTCCTGTTTTTGACTGCTGGTCTTTTACAGGAAAATCCTCTCGGAAGCTTTTATTGTGAAACATGTAGGAAATTATGACTTTTAAATCATGAAAATTATAGAAATTAATGGAATAAATATTAACATAAAAATCCAGTTTAGCTATCAGGAGAAATCAGTGTACTTCTTGCAGCTTAAAGGTGGGGTAGGTAATTCACTTCAATGCTCTTAACATCCCGATAGCAATGAATACATTATAGAATAGAATAGAATCGGAGCGATGAAACCCCTCTTTAATGGTCACACATGCAGAGCACACAGTGACATTTGGCCTCTGCATTTAACCCATCCTAGTACCAGGAGTCTAGTACTAGGAGCAGTGGGCAGCTATTGTACAGCGCCCGGGGAGCAATTGGAGTGGGGGGGAAGGGGGTTGTCTCCATATTTAGGTCTGTTCGGGGACTTGTACCGGCGACCCTACGGCTCACAGTCCAAGCCCCTACTGACTGAGCCACTGCTGGATTGTTAAATGCTTTGACAATAAATATATACAAATATTTAATCTGTGGAAGCCGTGGCGCTGTAAAAAGCAAGTCCAATTATCTGCCTCGGCCCGCGGCAGATAATTGGATGGCCTACCTGCCTGTCAGCCTTCCATCTCATGCATAAACTTATCTCGTGCCCTCATTGGTCATGTGCGCGTTCGTGTGTGTTGGAGGAGGGGCTCTGTAAGGAAGTCTGAAGGAAGGGGCAGATTTTTTTCGGTTGTGTACTTTCAAATTCTAGCGCACTTGAGCTGGTTTCTCCATTCTTACCTACCCTACCTTTAAAGTGGTTTTATGAAATTAGATTAATTGTGTGCGGGATTGCATTATCAGCGATATTTTAACATATCTACCCGTGCACAATATATATCATCATATCATCTTACCCTACTCCCCACCCTACCAGGCGTATGTGTATTTAAACCTTTGTTCTGTTCTCTCTCTCAGGTGCGAGCCCACCAGTTGGTGCTGCCGCCCTGTGAGGTGGTGATCAAGGCCGTATCAGAGTACGTCTCCTCCATCAAAGACCTGGGAAACCTCGATGCCATCGCCAGAGATGTCTTCAAACAGTCACAGGTGGGTCCTCTCCCCCTCTGACAGTGATGTGTTTCTGTTAACCCTTTTTTTTAGTTAAATTTGAATTGATTGATTTAGATTTATGTTTTCCGTCTCTGATTGACATGCCAGACTGTTGCATGTTGTTAAATAGGTCACGACTGTGGACACAAGATCCTGAGTCAGCGTCTGCACTTCCTCACATCAGTGTTAAACCGTATGCCCCCACTGTTCATATAAATGTTTAACACGATTATCCTAAATATAAAAGTCTATATTTCAATTGAATTTCTTAACAATCTTTGCGATTGCCATATTTTTTCCATCGGAGCTGTATTTACGTCTAAGCTAAAAAAAAGTTGTAAAGTTGACCTTGATTCATGTATTGGTTGATCAACAGGAAGTTAATAGACAAAAGGTTTAATCATTTAAAAAAATATTTTTAAAAAATGCAGTTGGGTCCAGTACTTTTACATTTCGGTATTGAATTTTTTTTTTTTTGTCAAATGAGATTAAACTAAATATGTAGTAGGGGTTGGTACTGTTGGTTTGATAAAACAAGCAATTTTGTATGATTCAGCCAAGGTAAACTAAATGAATCTCCTGTGTTATGAAAACAATTTTGACTGAGGTAATGTGGATGCATGTTTGAGTCGCAAATGACTTGAAGCTCCCCTTGAGAATGTTCCCTTTTTTATTTATTGTTAAGTGAATTATTCTTGCTCTTAAAAGTATTTGCGGCGCACTGCCATGCTTACTCCAGTCCAGTAAACAACTGATTCTCTGAGTTGGAGCAGCACATCCTTTTTATTCCATTACTTGTTGCAGGAAACTGTTGTAGACAAATCTCTTAGACTTGGATCTTACGGAAAAGTCTGGTGATACTCTAAAGGTACCAATAATTAACTGTGTATCCACATTCTTATACATCTTCTTCCTCTATGCCTCCATAGTTGTTCAAAAACTATTAAAAACAAATCAATAAGCGTCACTGTTACACTTGTTCCTTCATTAGGATAAAACAATGGTTTATTTTGAGTCAATCCCGCTTGGTCCTGCTGTCCCAAATACTCACTCGAGCACCAAATGTGGATTATTCCGCCTCTGAAAATAGTCCCCAACATAATTTACCCCGTTTAAGGCATGTTTATTCAAAACTATGGTGAAATTATTTGGCCTTTTTAAACGTTTTAACTTATGTATTTGACCTATATAAAATAAATGATCTATAGTCAAATAGGTTTGAGCTGAGACAGATTAAAGCATTTTGGGATATTTTTTACATACGATTTTTTGACTATTAGGAGAAAAGGAATATTGTCAGCCTTAACATTTTAAGGAATTTCAGGCAAGTCACTGATTTGTAACGGATCTAAAAATTGAGCTAGGGTTGAGTCTAAAAACCCAACCCTACTGAACCCTAAGTCATTCACCTGTTAAGCCCCATGACGCAACATCTTGCAAGAAACAGCGTCTGAGGGCTTCTTAACATTTAATAAACTATGAATGTGTCAGACCCACCTAACGGGAAGAAACTCTAAGCTAACTGACGATACGAACCATTTTTACTGAAACAAAACACAAGTCTCACAAGAAGCGTCTAAATGAAAAAGATGCTAACGCACTTAGCACAGAACTCTAGGTATAAATACTTTATTACTTATCGGATCTGCACAAACAAGATATTAGCTAGCAAGCTGAGATTCCACAGATTCCAGAAATACAAGTGCGATCAAAACTCGCGACAGGGGAAGCAAAGCCAGACAACACACGACGTAGCTTTATGGAGCAAAATCGGGAAATTGGTCTTACCTTTTGCTGTTATTCTGATCAAAAGTTGTGTTCAATGGCATTACAACGCAGCTGAAGGTTAATCCAATGTGTCTGTGTCATTTTGAAATGATTACTGATAATCCATCATTCCATTTTTATGTCAATAACGGAGTTTTCATATATAGTTGCTATGAGAGTGTATGACAGCTTCCGGTTTTGGGTATTCTGGCTACGCATCACTCATTCACCAATGGGTAATGTTTAGATGGATTTCAGGAACTTCCCCTCGATTCTATTGGCTCTAACGGTTAAAAAGAGGTGTCAATCATCCAAATCACCCAAATGACCCCAGAAGTGGTTTCTTTTTGCTAAACCTCTCTAAAAAGGTCAAATGTCACTTGTTTTGCATCAATCTTGATACAAGTTACTTATTATATGTTATAGTTTGGATTCCTAAAGCTTTTAGTCTACTAACCCATCATTCAAGGGTAGTTTTCACTATAAGTAATGTTTTCTTTTGGACGGACACTATCATTTAAATTGTTTTACTATGTTCAATTTGAATTTACTTTAAAATAAAAAACATCTATATTGATTCTGACTCTTCTACATCCAACTCACATGTTTATCATTGCTTTGAGAAAAGAGATGATTAATTTACCCCTTTTTAGAAGTGAAGTTATTGTCATTTGTTCTGGGAATGTCATCTTCGAGCCTGAGACCTGAAAAACAGGCTCGGTGCTCAACTGGTTAAAGCCACCTGTGCCACCCTTTTATTTCAAGGCAGGGTAACTTCAGACATTTGTCAGGTCATTCATTCTTAACATTCCCATTGCTAGTGTCTTTCAGTCATTTGCTGACGTCTGAAAATAAATCGGCAACAGATGTGTTCATCCATCTGGCCTTTGCAATTGATCTTCTCCTTCTCACCATGTTATGCAGTCAACATAACACGTTGTTCTTTTGTTTCCAGTCTCGCATGGAGGACAAGGTGCATCGATTCAAAAAAGCCGTGGATTATTTCTCAGCTGCCTCCAAACCTCGCTCGCCCAACATGGGGCCCTCAGCTTTCATCTGTGAGTAGTTCAAGTTTAGACATCAATGGTCCACACTCTTGCATCATCATTTGTTGGTGTACTACATGTGTACGTATATGTATTTAAGAGGAGATGATATTCATTTACATCTTTGTTTCTTCTGCTCAGTACCTGGGTTTGGATTTGGGGGACCACCCGGCCACATGGGACCGATGCAGCCTGGAAAGAATCAGGTAGATTCCTCAGCTCAGGAATTCTTTCTCCCTCCTTGGTGTGTTTGTAATTCGATCTCCATGAATGTATGTGTAGCAGAATGGATTACGGTTCATCAGAAGAAATAGGACGGTATTGTATGATTTTAGTTTTAAGTTTCCAAGCTTCCTTTTAGCTCTTTTCCAATATTTAGCATTTCCTTTTATTTGGTTTAGTCCCAGTATTTCTGCACAGTCCAGATAAAGATTAGGCTACAGTCATATTATTAGTAATTTAATAGTGTATGTCGGGTAAGGCAAAAGATGAAGTATTACAAACGGCTGATATGAAATGGTATGCACTTCCTGTCTCTCTAAGTGGTCTGATGTATTTATAAATTATTTGGTTATATTACATATTAACACAGCTTATAGAGCTGTTAAGCTTTACTAAAATGAGTTTGCTAGGGCCATCACAAACATTAATTGTCGTTTGCTTAAAATTGTTCAACTTAAAAAAACATTTTGAGTACCGTTACCACTTTTTGTTTCCAGATCCACTTGAGATGGACAAATCAGACAAACTTGACTCTCACAAGCTACATTTTTCATAATGAGTTTTCTCCAAAAATGCTATTTGAGTCTCAGAACGTCAGAAAACTGTGAAGAAAGAGTATACTTTTCCCTTTGGAACATTGGGTGAGAGAATCCGTCATAATCTGCGTTCATGAGTTAATATACTCAGACCGGCTGCTGGTCTCATAAAGGGGCGGGCAGTGCCGAAACTAATAAAGGGTATTACTTTATTCCAACTGAGGATTCTTTTAGAGGATTTATAAAAACATTAATTTAAATGAAATCATAAATATGAGGACTGACGGCTTTATATGAAGAACTATAAAATAAAAATATATTCAGTCCGGCCCTTGTATTAGTTCACATCTCTGAAAGGACCCCTCGCCTCCCTTTCTCTCCTCGCTTCGCTCCTTACTTTTACATTACATTACATTTAGCTGACGCTGTTATCCAAAGCGACTTACAATAAGTGCATTCGACCAAGAAGATACAAACTTGAAGAAAACAGAATCATATAAGTACATCAGGTTTCATAGAGCCAAACCATTTCAAGTGCTACTCAACTGGCTTTAGATAAGCCAGTCCTTTATTAGTGTATAAGTGCTTTGTTAGTAATTCTATCGCTCGAAGTGGAGTCGAACGAGATGAGTTTTCAGTCTGCGCCGGAAGATGTGTAAGCTTTCTGCTGTCCTGACTTCAATGGGGAGCTCATTCCACCATTTTGGAGCCAGGATAGCAAACCGACGTGTTTTTGCTGATGGGAACTTGGGTCCCCCTCGCAGTGCGGGTGCAGTGAGCCGTTTGGCTGATGCAGAGCGGAGTGCACGTGCTGGGGTGTATGGTTTAACCATGTCCTGGATGTAGGAAGGGCCAGATCCATTCACAGCATGGTACGCAAGTACCAGTGTCTTGAAGTGGGTTCTAGCAGTTACTGGAAGCCAGTGAAGGGAGCGGAGGAGCGGTGTGGTGTGGGAACATTTAGGAAGGTTGAAGACCAGACGAGCCGCTGCATTCTGGATGAGCTGCAGAGGTCGGATGGCACATGCAGGTAGACCAGCCAGGAGGGAGTTGCAGTAGTCTAGGCGTGAGATGACGAGAGCCTGGACCAGAAGCTGCGTCGCTTTCTGGGTCAGGAGGGGACGTACTTATTTTTGAATCCATTTCCCTTCCTTCTGCTTCCAGTTTCCTCCCCCCCAGGTTCCAGGGTTGAAGCCGCCCTATCAAAATGCTCAATATGGACCGGGCTCTAACCCTATGTTCCAGAACGCGCCACCACCGTCCCAAGACCTCAACGATTCCCTGACGGGCAAGATGGGCTTCACTGATTGGTCGGCTCCATATGATTCCACTCAGGGGGGAAATCGATTACCCAATCATCACACTGCCCCTCAGTCTGGTCCCTCTCCGTCTCCTTCATCGTCATCAGAAGGAGACGAACCCAACGACAGCAACGCAAAGTAAGACACAAGACAATGAAGGTGTTTTACACTAAGTTACTATAAATGAAGATGAGTTAAAAGGGGAATGAGCCCTTCCCAGAATGCAGTGCATCCATTACAGCTCAATAACACATACACTTGTTGACTGTCTGACGTTTTGTCAAGAAGCTTAAGGTGTAAAGAAGCCCAGGTGCAGCTTAGAGATTGAGGGATTACAGATACTGAAGAGGAGGAGGAAGATGGAGGAGGAGCAGAAGGAACACACGTGATTTTCAGTTTAAATAATCTTAACATGGTTTAAAATCTGAATTGGGACATCTTGAACTTGTGGTGAAGAAAGTCTTGACATTTTGGAAAGTGCTTTAATTTGTGTTTTCAAGGAATATGCTTGAATTTTAAATACTGAAAAACAAAGCATTGACATCACACATTAATATATGTGCAGATATTATATAAGGAAATCTGTTAACTTTATATTTGACATTAATATAAACAATTTGTATGTGGTGAAAAAGGCTTTGATTATTTGGAATATTTGGTTTTGTTGACTTCTGAGTGGCTGCTGCTAATCTCCGTCTGATGCAATATTAGTAATATAAACAAAGTTAGCATCCAACTCAAACTTTGGTCGCCTCAACATGTGTTTGAAAAAATGCTTATGAACACAAAGCTGATGAATGCCAGTCGAGCTTTACTGAACACTCCCATGAACCCTTTCTCTCAGCCATTTGACGGACAAGTCCTCTCGCTGGGAGGATCCCACTGGAAGGGGGGGCTTGGCCACTGGAGACGGCTCCCAAGGCAACGGGAGCGTGTCACACATTCCGTCACTGTTGTCTATGGCGACGCGCAGTCACATGGACATCACCACACCCCCTCTGCCTCAGGTTTGTGTCGATTAGAGAAATACAAAAACTACTTCTAGGTTGTGTTAAAAGTTACATTTTCTGACGTTTCCTGTTATTTTTTTTTTGCTTTTCAGGTCAGTGCTGAGGTTCTTCGTGTAGCCGAGCACAGGCACAGAAGAGGACTGATGTACCCCCAGATTTACCACATATTGACCAAGGTAAATGGATTTCCTCACTCCCATGTTTTTATTTGTGCTTGCATTGGTCTCTGCAAGTGTGTATTCTGTCTTTGCAAGGCCCCTATGTGTAAAAATGCGGGTGTTGGGGATATCAACAAATAAAATGTCATTTCTATAGCCCAATTCTACACATTTCTAATTTGCCTCAGGGGGGTTTACAATCTGTACAGCACACTAATTCCTGTGTCCTCAGACCCTTGCAGTATCTTAAGAAAAACTCTCAATAACCCAGTTAACGGGGGGAAGTTGAAAAGAAACCTGATGCAATTGAAGAGGAATACTGTCCCAGGAGGGTGCATTATATGTCATTTGTCAGGGTGTCCGCGGGGTCTTAAAAAGTATTCAAAGTTGATAAATCAATTTAGCGAAAATGAAGGCTATTAAAAAGTATTAAACGGCATTTTCCAAGGTATTACATTTTGTATCTTGTTTTCAATAAGTATATCAATTGTCCAAAGAGGTTGTATTCTACAGTCTGCCTGAATGTAATCATTGCGTAGGTGTGTAGTGTGATTCTGTGTAGTTTATTTATGGCGTCCCGTTGGATTTGACGTCATCTGAACAGGACATCGCACGCTCACTGCTTGATAGCGCGCGAAGGTCCGTTTACGCCGGTTGTTAAACAACATCGTTATGGGGAAATGCAAGTCTGCGTCCAAATGGTTGGAAGATAAGGAGGAAGGACAATATAGTAAATATAGTAAATGTGAGGTAAAGTGTGTCGCCAATGTAACCGGTTAAAACTCCAAGTGGTGATGAGGTCTTAAAATGTATGGAAAGGGTCTTAAAAAAGGTCTTAAAAGGTATTACATTTGACTTCAGGATTCCTGCTTATACCCTGTAATATAACATTATAAAATGACAACTTAGACAATCCATATGGGAAATGGATCAACGAGGATGTCAAACAGCTTCTAGGTGTCACCAACAGCAATATAAATGATCATCCATGTAATCTCTTCTTCCTCACTTCTCTCAGGGAGAGATGAAGATGCCAGTGTGTATAGAGGATGAGTGTAACTCTGAGCTACCTCCGGCCTCTCTGCTGTTCCGCGCTGCCAGACAATATGGCTACGGCGTGCTCTTCAGTCTGGCTGAAACCCACCGCCGCCTGGAGAGGCTCGCTATGCGCAAGAGGGCCCCCCTGGAAGGTAGGCCCCCACACTGAGTGGAGAATGTGCTCTCTACATGTTGTATACTCACTTTTATTACAGTTTCTCTCTGGGAATCACACCAAATCATATCTCTCTCAACTGTTACTATATAGCTTTTTCTTTCCTTTAACCATTTCATCATCACACCTGCCCTCCTGACATAGAAATTATTAATTATAGAAAGTACATATACAGATAGAATTGACATCTAAAATGTAAATACTGTCAAGTATTGTGCTTCTGAGTCTTGTGCTGTAATGAGAAACTTTTTTTAAATACAGTTTGTTATTGGCTTTACTTGTTGCATGCAAATATACATTTCTTGCAGGGCCAGTAACTTATAATATTTAACTAAAAGACGTTCTGGACCAGTGGGCCTTAGAGCACCGTCTAGTGAGCCATGGAGGTACTGCCAGAAAGATTAAATACAAATACATGTTTTTTTTGGGCAACATACAGAGTTAGTTATTTATTTATCTAAATTTGGTTAAGAGATCACATAAATGAAAAACTCAAATGCATAAGTTTAATCACAAGTAGCATTTTAAAATGACCACAACAACCCAAAATCATGAGCCATGAGACAAATGTGTTTTTCTGGTGTTTGCTTTCTGCTGCTGGTAACCCTAGCCCTCCTTCAGGGGGGGGGTTATTCCAACTTTGAATCTTGTTTTACAAAAAGCCACAAACCCTATTCATTGTGCTCTTAAAAGACTAGCCTGTGCCAAAGCCAGTACAAAACCTTTGTATCAGTATCTTGTTGTGATGGGAATTACGGCTCTTTGAAGGGAGCCGGATCGTATGGCCCCGTTCCTTTCCGAGAGCCGTTCAAAAGAGCCGGTTTTTTTTTTAAGGGGGCGGGGTTAATAGGTTTATCTGCCAAAGACTCACCAGGATAATGATTGACTGTATTGCCAGAAATCTACTTTTACTCACAGAAAATGTATAACTTGCTACATCTCTCAGCCGGCCAAACTACTACTCGAGCAGCATGTGTTGTGCCATCATCTACGGGCAAATGTGCATTCAGGAAAGCAAGTTCCTTTTAAAGGCGAGTTGATTTATGGCAGGCATTGAACCAACGATAAAAAGAACGGCTCTCACCAAGTAGGACTCGGTTCCCTTCGTTCGTACCAAAGAGCCGTTCAAAAGAATCGGATCGTTCGCGAACGTCACATCACTCGTATCTTGTTTCTTGTGTCTTTTAATCGAAACATAGTACATTTTTAACTCTCTTCTCTCCCCTCTGCGTTACAGTTCCTCCAGTGATTGTCAAAGAGTGGAGCAGCGGTAAAGCCAAGTCGGCCCTGACTCCGGAGCTGGTCCCCGCCCTGTGTTTCCGGGAGTGGACCTGCCCCAACTTGCGGAGGCTGTGGTTGGGTCGAGCCAGTGAGGACCGCTCCAGGAGAACCAGGGCCTTCCTGGCCTGCCTACGCTCCGACTGCCCAGCCCTCCTCAACCCAGCACAGGTCCCCCAGCATCTGCTGCTCATGTGCTGCGTGCTCAGGTATGACGCTGCTGGGTTAGTGTAGTTTGCTAAACAATGCGTGTGGTGCCCTAATTCCCATGTGAGATTTGCAGGAGCACCTAACTGAGAGAGCCAAACACTGACTCTGTACCCTTTCACACCAAGGCTTTTCCCATTCTAGCTCCGTGCTAGAGCTTTTCTGGTTCAGAACCGGTTCTTCGGTTCAGCTCCCGCTCTGTTCACACCGCTCAGAGCCCGACTGGTGCTGCCGCTGCTGCGTCATGACGTCACCGTTTACGTCGCTGATTTTCTCCCCAACGGAGCTCACAACAACAACGGGGGACTGCGTCATGTCGATGATCGTGTTGCTTTTAATCATACGAAGCCAGATTTAAATTAAATAACGACTTCTCCAACCTTATACTTTTCTCCAGAGTGCCGTGGTTCATTGTTTATTAATGTGTTTCAGCGGCATTTACCGGCTGGCTGCTCTTCCACAGGAGTTTATTCTCCCGTTAGCTCCGGGTTAGCTCACACGGCTCTAAAGTATTCACTGTCTGACTGTCACACAAGCAGCTGATGCATATCCCCAGTTCCCCTTAAGTGAATGTGTGTCAGTCTGAATTGACGCTGTTTGGCATCACAACGCTGTTATGAAAGTTTCTCTGGTATAAAATGGGTGATGTTAGCATAGCAACCGAAGCTAAACTGACTATAACTTGACTACTTGTTGCTATCCTATTGTGGCATAAGCCGTTTTCTACAGGCACATTTTACTGGCGTATTTTTCATTATGATTCTACTTGTGATAGTCGGACATGACATCCTGTGCAGCCCATGTATTGATTCCATCCGATAGCTGCTATAATACAAAACAAAACGTCTGCCTGCTCTCCACAATGATCAATAACAGCGAACGGATGGTCAAAGTAAGGTACAAATAAACAGAATCACACGAAGCCTGGTTAGTGTTGCCTGACTTTATAAAGTGTGTGTTCTTTTTTACAAGTGTGTGGTTGCCTTCTAGTCACTTTGCTCAGCACTACTGCTTGTTACAACTTTTATTTGCCGTACTCGCCTTGAACTGTTAGCTCAGGTTAATCTCGCCCCCCGCCGACGTAAGCGTGACGTATGCGGTTCTTGCTTCTAGACGGACAACTTTTTGGTGCTCGAAACAAACCGGATTACGGAGCTTAGAGTGAACGCTGCGGTGTGAACAGGAAAACCCGGTGCTTTTCAGGCTCTAGCTCCAAACCGGCCCTGGAACTGCGTTGGTGTGAAAGGGGTATATGTGTATTTGAAGAGTTTTGTTCAGCTCTTTCCCAGTGCACTACAGACTGAATGATAATACCATTCATCGATCTACAAGAATTTAATAATCAACCAATAGCTTGAGTCACTTTTAAAGCCACGATTCCAACAATTATCTTGAGCAAATGTAAGGATTATCTGGTTTCCTTGTTGACTGTGATATTGAAAATGACATCATGTCATGGGGCACAATTTTCCTTTTTATATAGTAAAGCCTTGCACCTGCATACGGAGTGATGACTGTAGACACCTGTGCCCTGTATCTCTGCTCCTGCTCTAAAGAGAGCCTTGTCTTGCCTCTCTCTCAGGTATATGATGCAGTGGCCTGGTGGAAGGATCCTCCAGAGACACGAGCTAGATGCCTTTCTGGCTCAGGCTGTTTCCAGCCAGCTCTACGAACCGGACCAGCTCCAGGAGCTCAAGGTGAGACCCCACTCCTCAAAATTATTGATAAGGGTTTCTGTTTGTAATTTATGTATTTTGTATTTTTCATGATATCAAAAGATAAACTACTGATAGATCCATCTTCTGATTGTGAAAAAAAAAGAGAGCTATGTATTTTAGATTTTCTAAAGTTATTTTAAAGTAAGATCCAGCGCTTTGAGTTGATAACATTTTAGTTGCATGAGGTTAATTCACTCTTTTGAGCCTAGCCTCAGGGATTTTCATTATACAAGCTAAATACAACATCTCCCGAGTGCCAGATCTCAAGGTTCTCAGAACTTTTATCACTTTGAAAGGTTCGGCCACTCGTCTGCAGTTAAACAATATTCTCATTTTAAATGTGTGTGTTTTCCTTTTAGGTGGAGAAGGTGGATTCCCGCGGCGTGCAGCTGGCTTCCCTCTTCATGGCCGGCGTTGACACGGCGCTGTTCATCAATGATGTGTGTGGCCAGCCGTTGCCATGGGAACACTGCTGCCCGTGGGGCTTCTTTGACGGCAAACTGTTTCAGAGCAAACTGGCCCGAGCCGCTCGGGACCGGGCCGCCCTGCTGGACATGTGCGAGGGACAGGTACGGTTATGTAATCGTGTGGCGGCAATAAACAGAGGACATGATGGATGTGTGTCTTTTTAATGAAATTACAAGCGAATAAAGAGACGATAACGCTTTATTAATCACTGTTGGGAAATCTAGTCGTCAGAGCAACAGCAATAATGAGAATGAAACCCAGAGGACATGCGAGTGCTCACACAAGATTAATGAGAATAACTTATAAGGTGCAGTATGAATTAAATAAAAGGTAAAATTAGATAAACAGGGTGTCCGCGGGGTCTTAAAAAGTATTAAAAGTTGATAAATCAATTTAGCGAAAATGAAGGCTATTAAAAAGTATTAAACGGCATTTTCCAAGGTATTACATGTTGTACATTTCAAACTTGAATATCTTGCATATTGTCAAATCAGCTGAAGCAGTTTCAATTTAGGCAAACTTATTTTTCAGGAGTAACTTGGTCCAAACACTGAATGTACTGATTCAAAACTAAAACGTTAATAATCTTAAATTATTGATGAACTTAATAAATGTTTAACTGGAAGAATGTGACTGCTGTCGTTTACTGTGAACGTCGTTCACTTGCTAAATGCTTCTCCAGGGAACATGTTAATATGCAGAATCAAATGACACTGCTAACGGCTGTCTGGGGAACAGACATCTTTACTTCAGCTTTGTGGTGCGTTAACAGCAATAACTTCTCACATGTGTCTGTGCTCTGCAGGAGGAGCTGGTGTCCAAGGTGGAGAAGATGCGTCAGGCAATCCTCGAGGGCATCAACCTGTCCCGCCCTCCTCCTCCTCCCCCTCCTCTTCCACCTCCTCCCTTCCTCCCCGCTTCCATGGTGCCCCCTTTCTACCCCATGCCTCCCCTCTACCCACCTCGCCCCATGGGCATGCCTCATCATCATCACCCACACCATCCTCACCACCCCGCCCAGCACAGACCAAGAGCCTTCCCAGGTACACAGATGCATCCTTTTTTATTTAACATACTTTGTCCTTTTCATAGATTTATAATTATCTTCATTTTGAACCAAATTTCATACTAGAAACCAGTTCTTAGCAGCTTTTTAAGAATGCAAAAGTGAGAACATTGAAAGCTCGTTACAGCTGCAGCACGTGTATTATAAAACGACGTGTTAATATAAAGCCTTACATATTCCTTATTTCTTGTATACTTACCAGTGTTTCCCATACATTGATTTATTTGTGGCGAGCCGCTACAATTAAATATCGTCCGCCACAATTTTTTTTTTTTGGTGGTCTAATGGATAGTGAGGTGGGCTGATGATCGGAAGGTTGCGAGTTCAAATCCCGCCTGGAACACCACCACTAGCAGCCCTTGAGTAAGGCACTTAGCCGTCAGTTACTCCAGGGAGAATGTCCCTGTAATTGGTCATTGTAAGTCGCTTTGGAATAAGGCGTCTGCTAAATGCCTAAATTGTAAATTATATTTTTGGGAGAATAAACCCCACAGATCCTCAACTCCGGTGTGTCTCACTCATTAACAACGCAACACAGAGCAACAAGAACGTTGTCTACAGTAGCCATGAACTCGCAGGGGGGGGTGCGGTGCCCCCACAAATAGAATCAAGTTCTGTGGGAAACACTGCTTACTGCAAAACAACATGCAGTACTATAGAGTATTAGTTAGTAGGTAATGTATACATGTTTTATAGAATGTTGACAACGCTATAGTTTCTTATTTAAGACCCTACAATAAGAAAAGTATCAGTAGTCACTTTTCTTCTTTCTTCAGGCCTTCAGTCAATCCCCCCCCAGGGAGGGAAACTGGAGATCGCTGGCATGGTCGTCGGTCAGTGGGCCGGGAACAAACCAGTCCGTGGGAGAGGGGGCTTCAACATGCAGGTGGTGTCAGTGGGAGCAGGGAGAGGGTGAGTAACATGAGGATCCTTCATACAGCTAACAACTGACAAGTTATTGTAGAGCTGGATTTTCTCTGTGTTCTTATAATCTCGGTAGATGAGTCGGCCACAAGCATATTCCTCTGTGAGAAACACCAGCTTTTTATAAACACTTTTATACACTGTATGCCGTCATTATGACTCTGGATTCAAAGTTCATACAAAGACTGCTGAGTTATAGTGATTACATTAATATGGGCTGTTAATTACTGATGGCAACAATGAGCAATTTAACGCTGGTGAGATTAAACCCTAAATCAGACTACTTATACGCCTCATTCTGTTTCTTTACCACAGGAGGGGTAAAGAGATTCCAGCTAAACCAAGGGTGGTGAAAAAGACGCCTACCAACAGATCACAGGTAAGAACGACTAAACTTTTACTCTAAGCTCTTTAGACCGATAGTTGAGATTTTTTGAAGTGCTGTTGTATGAGTGAAGTATTCATTGTCGGTGTATTAAATAATAGTATATAAGCTAAACAATGCATTGCTGTATAGTACTGACTGTTTTTTCAGCTTACGTTGCCACTATGCAGGCCTCTGACACGGGAGTCCTTTGATAGAAACGGTAATCTTTCTGTGCAGAATTCAGGAGATGCTGGTTTACCGCTGCTGTGACTAGTTTAATAGTTTGTGTTATTGTGTGACTTTCGCACGTTTAAGTTTGGATGCAACTCGCAAACTAACTGATCAAGGCAGCGGTAGACTGGCAACTCCGGTGTCCTAAAAAAATGATAGATTTTGACAAAGGAGTCTGCTGGCTTTGAAGAGCGAATAGATACAACTTTTACTTCCCTGTCAGATTAAGATGTTTTACAACAAGGTACAGTGGGGAAAATATAGATTTTTTTTCTAAATTATGTTTTGCTGCTGCCCCAGTCCAAATAAAACAGTAGATCTAACGTATTTATTGACAATTCATTCATCACCATCATTTCTTGACCTCATACAACCGCACTTCCCACAGTAGAATCCATCCCTTTTAATCTTATTGTACTTTTCCCTACCTGAATATCAATCACAGCTATAATTTCCCTCTTTATCACGTTGCATCTGTCCTGCTGCTCCTCTGTTAATATTCTGTCTGCCTATCGCCCTGCAGACGTCGCCTCCCCCCCCCTCCAGCAGCCCCCCAAAGCCCTCCGAGGAGGCGGCCGGCTCTCCAGAGGCTGCGCCTCAGCAGCTGAACGGCAGCGCTGCAGCCATCGGCCCCCCCTTGGAGCTGGCCCCCCCGGCCCAGCCAATCCCGTGTGCCTTAGCCAGAGACAACCAATCAGATGGGGTGGAAGTGGAGGCCCCCTGTTGCCTTGACGACTGCCCGTCAGACGGAGCACTACAGAAGGAGGAGTGACGGCGTCCTCTCCCAGGATGCATTGCTCTGAGAGAGTTCTGTGTTTGACTGCCTTCCCCTGTTTTTGTAGCCTGCTGTGCAGCGTCACATGGAGCAGGAGGTGCAGCGAGGCGCCCCCTCGCCCCCCCCCCCCCCCCCCCCTGCTCCATGTGAGCTCAGCGGCAGTTAGCTGTTACTTCCTGTTAAGTTTTCTCATGTGGTTTTACATTATTTTACAAAGAGAGGTTTTCTCCATGAGTCTGTAAGCGCCCCGCCCCTCAAAAATCCTAAATGCCTCCCTCCTGCACTCAAGAGTAAAATAAGCTTAAGCCCACCCCCATTACAACCAAGCACTTACAAAAAGCCCCCCCCCCCCTCCCCCCTCCCTTAAAGTATGGGTATCTGTACAGTTAAAATGTCTTATTTTGTGTTTTTAATGGTCCCATTGTTTGAATCTCTGCACACATATGTTAAGCATGCGGTTTAGGGTGACAGATTGGATGTGGTTTCCATGGTTACAGCATCTAGGCCTGGGGCGCCATGGTCGGTGTTGGTGTGTTTGATGGTTGGTTTGTAGCCGTCTCGTGTGAGATTTATCTTACATGAATTCTAGGTATGTGAGTAAGATTTTAACAAAGTGATAGTACCATTCTTCTGTGCAGTGACCCCCCGCCCCCCCCGTACTCACAACGTTGGTATACTTACTAGCAAAGAACCCCTTTTATTGATTGATTGGTTATCTATCACAGGAGCACTTCTGCACCACGATGGTATTGGCGTGCTATCTTACTTTGACCAATGTAGCATAGCCCAGTGCTTAGCTGTGCTTTGAGACCCCCCGCATTTATGCACCTTAAGCCCTAAAGTATGAAAGATATAACCCCGCTCCTCCAAAAAAAAAAAGTGCATTATAATATTATCCTCCCATCCCCCGTGTCCTTTACTCCCAAAGCTTTGATTGTATTACCCAAACAGAAGCACTTAATGTTGTATTTAAATGATGAATTTGAACAAACCCCTATACCGGTTAATTGACCGTCTGAGAGGGGTGTCCCCCGCCCCTGAGTAAATCATTATGACTTGTAGAACTACATATAAAGGTAGAGATGTATTTGAGAGACATCAGAATGTGAACAGAGTGGTTTCAGACAAAGAGGCACTTTGTTTAAAAAAAAAAGTTTAAACCACACTGGATAGTCTTCTACCAGGTGAGAAAGAAATGATAAAACTCTGAGGCACGTTCTGGAGTTTAAGGCCAAAAAAGAAAAGAATAATGCTGCCAGACAAAAGATGGATATGAACGGTGAGGGTTTGGGTAACTGCTGCCAGGCGGAGTTCCCCGCAGACTGGCCTCGCCCGTTCAGACATAAAACTTTGCAATTAAGCTGAAAAAGGACTCCTGATGTTCCGCGTCGAGGGTCCTTAGGAATCTTTTCAGATTACTAAAAAAAAAGTTATTTCCAAAGTGTATTTTAAGAAAGGCCAGCCTACTGAGGCAGCCAGTGATATAAAAGGGGTGTGGCGAGTGACAAAGCCTCAAAGAGCCCCCCCCCCCACCCACTCAGGTGGTGATTGAGTTACGGTTGTCATTACGATAGCCCAACACCATGAGCCGCAGCGCTCTGGTGTGTCACTTTAGACCAGCAGGAAGCACTTCCCTGCCCTGAAGCACCTCGGCCTGAAAACACGGCGAGGCTTTATGGGTCGGATCACATGACGGGAGAGAGGGAGGCCTCATGGCGGACCCCCAGAGGGCCGCTCAACAATCTGAGACTTCTAAGATATTGAATTGTTTTATTAGAGCACCTATGTTTGTAGAGAATGAGATGTGTCCCCCATAGTAGATTTCATCTGACTACGGAAATACAATTTACCAATAGCCGGTAGCACAACTGCAAAATGTAAAAAGCAGTACACCGACAGATACTGCCTGAGATGCTGGCCATGATCATTGTAAATCTCTATAAACTTACTTAGAGAGGTTGAAATGATCTCACTATGTTAAAAAAAAGGCAAGTCAACAAAGAAGCACCTTATTTTCTTACTATGTTGATGACTTGTGCTCTATCGTGTGCCACAAAATTGACATGGAAAAGAAGCTCTTACGAAATGCCGTTTTGAAGGAAAAAACCCTGACTATATCTGTAAGTGTTAATGTAGTCGCGTCAGACATCCCCTCAGTTTATGAACTCAACCATGACCGTTGACCCAGCCGCGAGTCGTAGGCCTACGCTCGCCATCACAAGGCTGGGCCGCGCCGCCGTCTCTTACACCAACACCAAATGAAATCAGAGGTTTCGGACCCGTTAGCCGATTATTTGGTAGGGAATTAAGCGGTCGAGTGCTGTAGGTGTTCATAGGTTAAGAGTAGGTAACGGCGTCGGGCTGAACACAGGACTGTAATAACACAGACACCAAGACTAGGCTAGAGAATATAGCTCCACTGGCCGAAAAATACTAAGTCTAGAATTACTAGGAGTCATATACTTAACTGCTTTTCAACTTTTCACATTAGTACAAATATGTGTATCGCAACAGTACATTGTTAGAAGATGGCTTTTCTGCGGCGAGCCAGAGCGTGATCTGGTATACGATGCCCTCTCGATTTGCTCGCCAGATACCAGAAACGCCACACACACACATATACATTTAAACAAAACACACACATACAGGTATTCAGTTGCATTTGTTACCAGCAGCATTCTCTCTGCTTTTGTGCTGAAGTGATTTTGTGCAGTTTCAGTTCCCAGTGGAGTGCTCGTCAGTTCATCAGAGATCATTTTTTGGTAACACATTCTACTGAGTCTTATAAAAAAAAAATATCCCACATTTTCAAGTTTGCATGGACGGATTTAAAAATACATGCCATGACAAACACAACCTTACACACACACACACACACACATTACCACACAACACACATACATAGATGTTAAACCCTGAGTTACACAGTAGCTAGTATGGATAAAATAAAGTCAACACAATACATGATGTAGTGTCCCTCTCTCGTCCTTGTCTGTTTTAGTTCGATAGATATTTGATCAGTGATTTTTATGCTTGTTATCCTAACCCCGCCCCCCCCTGCTATTACACTTTTTCTCGCCCCCCCCCTCCTACTCCCCCATAAAAGGTTCATTCACTTCTTCTCTTTAATGCCCCCTAATCTTCCTTATAGTCTACATGCATCCACACAGACACACACACACACATGGCCACTCATTTAAATCTGCAGTGACACAAAACCAACACACACATTTTACACACAGGTTACCCCTCCTGTCCGATTCTTCAGTTCTCTCTTTCACTCTTATCGCCTCCCTCTCTGCCTCTCCTTTTAGCCCCTTTTAGGACCGTTTCTATTGGCTGTTTTTTCTCTTTGGGCTGCCCCGCCCCTTAATCAACCCAACTAACAGTAAAGGTTATATTAACGTTGATAATCAGTTTCTGTATGTATCTAGCCAGAGTCTGGAAAAAAAAATCTGAAAAAAAAAAAATCAAAACGGTTTTATTCAATTGTGCAAATGTGTTTTTTCTTACTATTTTTAATGTTATTACATCTTCTAATCTAATCCTACCATTGCTTCAGTTAGTACTGAAATACGCTTAGCCAACCTAGAGATTTGAACTGTAATGATTGCGATTTTCCTTACCTGTATTTTATATGGCATCTTTAGACCACCGTTTATTATGTACGTAAGTAAATATTGCCCGTTTTCGAAATGAAAATTGTCGTCTGCACTATGTTATGATCCTCATAATATCCCTGAAAACTATTTCGTGGTCGACTCATTATCAATCTAAGCTGAACTTGCACAAAGCAGCGTAACATCTCTTGTAAACACCTGAGAACCAAAGTACACCTAGCATCCCCTCTACTCCATATAAAGCCCCGCATAGTCCCTCCCGCTCCCCGGCATCGACGGTTTACCCCCGAGTAACAAGTTTTCCGATGAGTATGATTATATATATATATATATAATGACATTACAGCACGTGTGATTTATCTGACAAGTCTGTGAGGTAACGGTGTTTTTTAAACACTGTGGTTTTCGTGGAGACGCAGACAGACAGGGAAAGGAAGGAAGTTTTTGTTCGACAGTGAGTGAGCGAGTGGGCAGGTTTTAGGCATTGTGGGTCAAATCACCCCTCCTGTTGCTCGCTTACGCCTTTTTGTAACTTCTTCATTGACTGAATTCAGGCTGTGTGCGAGCCATTTGCACACGCTCAGATCAACACTAATACACGAAAAAAGGAACAACATCTGGCAGATATGCTTTCAGTCACGCTGGGGTTTTGGCGCCCTCTTTAGCATTTCTCACATGTAATTGTTGTGCTCTCTCAAACTTGCCTTTAACTGCCCAGACTCGGATTGAAAGGGCAACTTTTTGCTGATCTGAGTCTCTTCATACGTGGGCATGGATATTCTGAATGTGGCTGGATTTTCCTCAAAACACAAATCTGAGATTATTTAGTCTCTAAATACATGGCATATGAAATGTGAAGTGCAACTAAGAAATCATTTATGATTGTTAAGATCAACAATCGTATTCTAAGACCCATACTGCACCCTTCCACCAAGTTTCAGGATAATTATTAATTTTTGTAAACCTGCCTACAAAGAAACCAATCTGAAAACATTTCCTTGGTGAAGGTAATTCATAGATTAGAGGTTAATCTATGAACAAATCTGCAACTATATACTACCTTTTTGTTAATTTAGATAAAATGTTGGAGCAAAAATTCCAAGCATTTTCTCAACAGGCCTTTTTATTTATTTATTCTAACATTAAGACAAACAATAAAGGAAGGGCATATTAATTGAAAGTATTTCCTAGTTGCCACGTGGATTTGTTCATGACTTTTTGCATGGAAATTGTGAAACTTATTTTTTTTAATGTTATTCATTCAACTATGAATTAGTTAATTGAGAAAATGACATCAGAAACAATCAATTCAATGCATTTCTGATTAATTTCCTGCTCTCAGCTGAAGTGTCAAGAGGAAAATTCACCTTCTCTGACTGAAATGATAAGAGTTGTCCAGCGGATAGTAAAGGCATCTTGCCTCACAGCCGACACAAATGGGAGCGCCTCTTGAGGAGCTCGACAATGTTGAAGAGAACCAAAAGTCCCAGAAGAATATAAGTGTGCTATGTT